TTTTTTTTTTTTTTTTTTTTTTTGGGTACCAGGGTCGAACTTGGGTCCTTGTGCTTGTGAGGCAGGTGGCAGAACCACTGAGCCAAATCCCCGGCCATCAAGCTGGTCCTGAACACACTATGTGGCCCAAGCTGGCCTCGAACTCCTACCTCAGCTTCCTGAGTGCTGGGCTTACAGGTGTGCACCACCATGCACACACCCAGTTTCTTTTTCCCTTAATACTGGGAACTGAAACCCGGGTCAAGCAACTGCAGCAGCGCTCCAGCTACACTTTCTTCCATTGCAAAGTGGGGTGATAACCGCACTTACTTCAAAGACCAATTGTGAGCAAGAAAGAAGTTAAGGCTCATCAAGGGAGTGGTCAAGAAGCTGTAAGGCTGGCTCCATCACAATCTGCCTCAGCTTCTTGGTATTTTTCCCAACTTTCATTCTTCTGAGGAGTACTCAGAGACACCAGAGTGTGAAATTCCCATCCCAGAGACCACCAGAGGTCCCTAATTCATCTTGCACATTACATGACTAGTGATGCTCAAAAGCTGGTAATAAACTACATGAAGGCACCTTCTTTCTTTTAAAAAATCAACCTCTCCCTAATTTCTCTGTGCTGGTTCAGAGCCCAGACAAGCTGTCACATCAGGATCCTACCCAAGTCCTGACCACAGCCTGTTCTTCTTTCTTCCTTGGGACCTTTCACCCTGTCTCTTTCCTTTTCTGTGGCCTGGCCCAGGCTCATCACTGGGCACCTGTATTGTTCATTTTTTTTTAACCAGGACTTACTGGATGCCAGACAACTGCGATGATAAAAAATAGGATCTATAAGAGTGAAGAGTGTTTATTTTTTTCCTTTTTTTTTCAGTACCAGGGATTGAACTTGGGTCCTTGCACTTTGTGAGGCTAGCGGTGGAACCACGGAGCTATAATCTCCAGCCCCTAGTTTTTCCTCCTTTTGCAGTACTGCGGATTGAACCCAGTGCCTCCCATATGCTAGGCTGGCCTTGAACTTGTGATCCTTCTGCCTCTGGCTCCTGAGTAGATAGAATTACTGATGTGCATGCCACCACTCCCACCTGGGGTTTTCCCCCTTTTTTCCAATGCTAGATATCAAACCCAGGGCCTTGTGCATGGTAGGTTAAGTGCTCTACTATTAAACTACACCCGCAGCCCCTTGAGTAGCTTATTTGATCAACAAACGCAGAAAACAAAAAGTAAAGTAACTGAGTTCAGACCAGACATGGTGGCACACACCTGTAATCCTAGCACTTGGGAGCCTGAGGCAGGAAGACCACGAGTTCGAGAAAAGCCTGGGATAAATAGCAAGACCCTGTCTCAAAAACCAAAAAATTGCATAAACCAGGTGTGGTGGTACATGCTTGAATACCAGCACTCTGAGAAGCTGAGGCAGGATGACTATAAATTATAGGCCAGCTTGGGCAATTTAGCAGGCTCTGTCTTGAAACAAAAAATAAAAAAGGAAAGAAAAAGGGGGGGTTGCGCTAGAGATACAGCTCAGGGCCAAGGCCCTGGGATTCCCTAGTACTGAAAAAAAAAGCAGTATATATTCTCCTACTTCACCATTACTCATAATAACTATGAAGTGGGTCCTCCTATGGACTAGGCCCTGTGATAGGTGTCTCAGAGACTATTCCAATCTTTACAACAATCCTGTCTTACAGGTCACATTCTTCTTCTATGGCAGGAAACTGCAGTTGAGAGGCTATCCTGTCCACGTGGAAGCTGGGTGCTTGCCCAGCATAGTCTATGAAGCCTGTGGGCCTTCCACTGCACTCCACTATTACTCCTGCCCCCACCTGTCCCTAACTAGCCAGGCTGAATTGGCTCAAGCAACAAGAACTGTTCCATAGTTTGCATCATGAGAACAAAGCCTCAGTAGTACTTTTTGGAAATGCTTTTGAGATCGCCAACCCCCACCCTACTCCACCCCAAGTCTGGCTATACTGCCCCAGCTAGTCTCCAACTCTTGGGCTCAACTGATTCTCCTGCATCAGCCTCCCAAGTGCTGAGAATACATGTATGCACATTGTACATTACAGTTTTTGAGATAAATGAACATGCCTTTGCTTTCAAAAGTTTTTTTTTTTTTTTGGTACCGGGTATCGAACTCAGGTCCTTGTACTTGCAAGGCAGGTGCTGGAACCACTGAGCTAAATCCCCGTTTTTGTTTTTATTTTTTGGCTTTGTTTTGTTTTTTGAGATAGGATTTAAAAAACAATTTTTTTTGCTAACCAGAATTGAACTCAGGACCTTGCGCTTGAGAGGCAGGCAGTGGAACCACTGAGCTAAATCCCCAGCCTTGCTTTAAAAAACTTTTAAAGCCAACTCACTATAATATTCATTTTGTTTTGGTTTTTGAGATAGGATCTTACTATGTAGTTCAGGCTGCCCTTAAACTATGTAGCTAGGATGGCCTAGAACTTGTGATTCTCCTGCCTCCCGAGTGCTGGGGTTATAGATGTGTGCCATCATGTCTGGCTAAACTGATAAGATTCTGTTGAATTTCCCTCCTGGAGCCAATCTATTTACCTCAAAGTAATGATGTGCTCCATTTCTGGGTCCAAAGCACTTTTCTCTTTAGCTCCCTATAGATGGCTTTAATGTGTCTTAATTGAATTCTGGACCACAGTTAATCTGTCAGGCACTTAAAAGTCTCTGAGATACAAAGCCTTAGTAGATTTGATCATAGTATCTTCTACTGTCTATTAAGAGGTCATCTATATCATAATGGTGACTGTAACCAAACCCTAATGCAATCTCTAACAGGATTCCCTTCCCTGCCTTTAGTCCTTTCACCCTCCCCTGTAATGGAGCTGACCTCGTTTCTCATTACATCTTGGCTCAGGGATACTGAAATGGCAGGTCAAAGCTGCACACAATGCCCTGTACACCAATCGCCTGAGGTCACTTTGTACAACTGGACAGGCCAGGGGCTCTGCTGGGTCAGGCTCCCCTCAAGGTGACTGTTAGTGCTGCTGACTGGAATGCCTGATCCTCTTCTTCCCCCAACCCTGCTTCTTCCTCAATGTTCTCTTTGGCGTGGGGTGTAACTTAGCAGTAGAGTGCTTGCTTGTGATGTATGAGGCCCTGGTTTTAATCCTCATCACCACAAACCAAAAGTGCTCTCCTTGAAGCATCTGATTGAGCCCTCCTGGCTTTAGCTGCCAGCCTCCTTCGGCACTTCTGCAGTTCTAGAAAGCCCCTTCTCTCCAGCTCCACAGTATTTATTTGTATCTCACTGCATGGGTGGGTCCCTGCACTAGACTGGTTTAAATACCATGACTTTTCCTTTTGTCCTCGCAGGCTCCCAATTTAAACACATGCCAGACACTGTCTTCATGCTAGGGACGGTCCAATTTCTGCCCTTGGAGCATTCACAGTACACCAAAAAAGTCACACTGAGTCTTAAAAGCACTATTGGAACATGGTGTGTGCAAGGCCTGGAGGCAGCACAGGGTAGGAGACGAACTCAGTGAGATGGGGGAGGATGACTAAGGAAGGCTTCCAAGGAAAGATGATGTCCAAACTGAGCTTTCAGATGAATTAACAGTTTGATTACCCAGGGATGTCTGTTTTCCAGGCTGGCTGCCAGCTGCCTTTCAGCCAGAAATACTTCAGTTATGGTGTCCCCTGTTTCTACTCAGACAGTCCTTCATTCATCAATGTCAGGCAAGGGGAAGAAGCAGTGAAAGCTCGTGGGTATAGTGTCAGAAGAACTTGGGATCAAATTCTTGCTCCATCCCTAAGTCTGCTACTATGTGGCTTAGACAATCCCTGAGACTCATTTTCCTTATTTGCATTAAGTCAATAACAATAGTGTCTACCTGAAGCGGATACGCTAAGAATTAAGTGAAATGACGCAGAAGAAGTCTTTTGTACATTCCAGGCACATGGTAAGTAAGTAAGGCAAGAGTGACTGTGAACCTTTTTTTTTTTTTACTTCCAGTGCCAGGGACCAAATCCAGGGCCTCACTCATGTTAAACACGTGCTGTACTACTAAACTATATCCCTGGCCCCTAGCTGTGAATTCTGAGGCACTACAGGATTTAGGAAAGCTACAGAGTCCAGCTGGGTCTGAGTCCCAGCTTACCACTAGCTGAGCCATCCAAGCCTTTACCCTCTGTGGCCCTATCAATCCTGTTATACCCTGCCAACTCCAGCCCAGACCAGCTGCTTCAAGGACTTAAAAGTCTACTGGCAGTCTCCCATTTGAACACTGGAAGAAAGGGACTCCTGACCCCATGGCAAGTGAGGTTTCTTTTTTCTTTTGGTGCCCCCCACTTTTGGTAGTACTGGGGATTGAACCCAGGGTCTTGCACATACTAGGTAAGGGCTCTACTACTGACCTAATCTTCATCTTATGACTGAGGTTCTGTATTCAGAAGTAGAGGTTCCAGCCTCCAAGGTCCCATTCAGTTCCACGGATGCCTTATAGCTCTCAGACTGACTCTCACTTCCAATGGATGGTTGTAGACAGGCAGACTCCCTGCAGCTGTGGCCAGGGCCTGCCCTCTTACCTCCTTTTCTGCCTGCTCTGTTGCCTAGGCTAGATCCAGTGTCCAGTGCTCACTGCCTTCTCTTGTTTGGACAGCCTTGGCCATGGCCCCATCCTATCTTGCTCCACACTCCTGAAATGGCCCGCCCCCTCTCTCCTTCCTTGGCAAGCACATTTTGGCTCTATAATACCATTTCCATAAACAAGCCTACAGTTCAGCCTTCTGCCCTGGCCTGCTGTGAAGACTTCCTACAAGCATCTCCCACCTCTTTTTTTTGGTACTGGAGATCGAACTTGGGTCCCTGTGCTTGTAAGGCAGGCAGCAGAACCATTTAGCTAAATCCCCGGCCCCAATTTCTTTCTTTTTTTTTTGGTACAGGGGATCGAACTCAGGACCTTGTGCTTGCAAGGCAGGAGGCAGGACCACTGAGCTAAATCCCTGGTCCCCCTCCTCTTTCATAGCAGTCCTGCTAGAAAAGAATGAAGAAGCTCAGGCTAGGGATTTAGTTCAGTGGCACTGTGCCTGCCTTGCAAGTCCAAGGTCCTGAGCTCAATCCCCAGTACCGCCATACACACACAAAAAAAAGAATGAAGAAGCTGATCTACGAAATTAGCAGCTCCCTAAATGTAAGGGGTTCTTCTTTTCTTCAAAGAGACTAGGGTCCATGCCCTAAACTGAGTCAGGGGCCAGTTGCCAAAGCTTTTTTTTTTTCTTTTTTGGTACCAAGGATCAAACTCAGGACCTTGTGCTTTCAAGGCAGGCAGCAACACCACTGAGCCAAATCCCTAGCCCCTAAAACTGTTTCTGACCCCCTGTGTAAGCCTCATGTTTTGATTATTTGGTTCCTCCTCAGTTTCTCAGAAATGTTTTTAATAAAACTAACACCTGAGACTGGGTGTTGTGTACACACCTATAATCCTAGCACTTGGGAGGCTGAGACAGGAGGATCTCAGTGAATTTGAGGCCAGCTTGGGCTACATAGTTAACTTAAAGCCAGCCTAAGCTACACAGTGAGACCCTGTCTCAAAAAAACAAAACAAAAGCCCCCCAAAACAACAGCAACAAAACAAAACAAAAAAAGAGCCTACCACCAGAGACTAAAAATAACAACTGCAGTTATCACCAATGCTTACTGAGTGCCAAGCACTGGGTGAAGCACATTCAAGGTCTTAGTTCACTCCTTACTCCATGAGGTGTTATCATCCCTATTTTGTGGATGGCAACACTGAGTTTTAAACACCTTGACCAAGATTATATAGCTGAAGACGGGCAGCACTAGATGCATTGACTCTGATTTTGTTTATTTTGAGAAAGGGTCTCACTATGTTGTCCAGGCCATCCTCAAATTCCTGGGCTCAACTGATCCTCCTGCATCAGTCTCCCACATAGCTGGGAACAGAGACATGTCACCACACCATGAACTTCTTCACCACCTCATGTCACACATAGTGTCTGACTGCCTTACAGGCTTGGGCAGGGGGTACTTACAGCCAGTTACCACCTGAGCCAAGCTTTCTGCCCTGACTTGGTCCAGAAGTTCCTAGGAAATGGGGAAGGGAGTTCCCAGAATGCTAACGTACCTTCCCAATATGTCAGGAAAACCTCCACCCTCTCCCTCCAAACCTGCCCCCCCTTCCCCTGCTAGCACCAGCCTCCCCTTCTGTGCTGAGGACAATCTGGGACAACTCCCAGAGTCAGCACTTCATGAAGGGAGCAGGAAGTGCCACTCCTGAGAGGTGATGACTGGATCTAGTCCTGCTTCTACTACTATTCTGTAGCAGCTCTGATGGCCACTAGGGCTAGCATAATTCAATTCCGTGGGCTTCCTGGGCACCCATTTCCTTCTCACCTGGTATCATAGTTGTTGGAGTTCTTATCAAACTTGTAGGTGGGTGGAAAGTGCAGAGGGCCCTCCCGGAACTCCCGGAGCAGTGGGTCATGTCTCTTGGCAATGCTGAGCTATAGATAAAGACAGAGTCCCTATTTCCCCACAGTCTTGACCCAGGACCACACTCCGTTTTCTCACTGTCCCAGGGGCTGCCTCAGTCCATTTGGTCGCCTTCATCCCACCCTGGCCAGCATCTGAATCCTGGAAACATGACCCAACAGGCGCAGAGAAGGCAGCTGCCTTCCATTTCCCAGTCCTTAGACCATAGGGAACAGGCTTTGAAGAGCCAGGGTCCCCAAAAGGCATCTCATCCTCCAGGAGGTGAACAAGACTGGGGATGGCAAAGATGCCAAGGACACAAGGGGTTGATGGGCAGTGTGGGGTCACAGCAGGCCAAAGCCCTTCTGGTTCCCTATTGGAGAGCACATGTGCAGGATGGCTCCCCCACCCCAGCCCTGCTAGACTCCATCCCTACTCATGGGTAAAGAACAGCCCAGGGAACCTGAGGGACACCCTCTGCTCTTCATAGGGATCATGACAGCAGGCTCAGAGTACCCTTGGGACCCTCCCTTTGCTTGGTACCTGATCCTTCTCCCACAGGTCACCGTAGCACTGATTTTTTATGCATTCCCGAACAAAGTGTAACCCAAAGTCCTCGATCCGAAAGTTCATGTCTCCAAACCAGAGAATGAGGCTTTAAAAACAAAGGAGGGCAGCCTGAGGGTTTGTGATGAGGTCAGAGAAGAGGGGACCAACAGGGAACTCAGGTTTGGTCAATCTAAGGGCTTCTGGAAAGTGGAGAGCTCCAGGGCACACGTGAGAAGCCAGAAGCTCAGGGACATGTGCGGGTCCTGCACTATTCTCATGGCTCCAATACCATCATTCAGGCTGAAGGGACCAGCTCAAAGGGGCATATGGAAAATACAGAGCAGGCTCTAGCCTTCCTTTCTTCCCTCTTACGTGCTCACCAGTAGGTTTTCTTTTGTTTGGTTTGGTTTTGCTTTTTTCAGACAGGGTCTCACTTGGTGGTTCAGGCTGGCTTCGAACTCAAAGTAATCCTCCTGCCTCAGCCTCCCAAGTGCTGGGATTACATTTTGGTTTTTTTTTGGTACCAGGGATTGAACTTCATTATTTTGTTTTTTGAGAACAAGTTTTTGCTATGTAGCAGAGGCAGGCCTCAAACTTACAATCTTCCTGCCTCAGCTTCCTGAGTTGCTGGCATTACAGTTGTGTGCTACCATGGCTGGCTTTCCACAAGATCCTTGACCTGGGATGGTTAGAAGTATCCAGGGATTCTAGGCAGGGCACAGGGACTGAAGAAAAGGGACCCCAGGAATGCAAAACCAGGTAGGTCAGTAGATAGGACATCAGGGGAGGGGCAAAGGACAGGGTGGGAGAGAAAGCACTACTGACTGGCTGGGAAACAGGCGGGGTTGGCTTGGAGGGAGGGCAGGGTGACATTTTGCAGCTCCACGCTCACTCATGGTCCAGGATGTTGGGGACACTGTGTCCCTTAACGTTCTGCATCTCCAAAATCCGGTCAAAGTGTTCCAGCCGCTGATCATTGTTGGCCATGTGGGGAGGCAGGTGGCAATTGATGATGCTGACATAGTAGCCATAAAGTTTCAGGAAGATGTTGACTCCCCCTTTGTTACCCTGGTGGGACAGGTGGACAGATAGGTGAGATGCTACTCTACTTGGAACCTTTACCCACCACAGGCCTAAGGGAGGCAGTATCACTTTTGGCAGGATGACAGGGATACACCCAGCCTCCTAGGGTAAGCTCTCCACCTACAGAACCCAGTCCACCCAGTATGGGGTCTCAGGGATGCCCAGCCTCCTCTGAGGCATGAGGATGTGTACGAAAGGTTCTGGGCCAGATGGAGTACCAAGATTTGTTTCATTTCCTCTTTCTTTTGCTCATCTCTAAGGGTCCCTGCCCTTCCCAGCTCAGGCCTCAGGGAACCACTCAGTCCTTACCCAGTACCCGTAGAGGCCAGTAGGAGTAGATTTTGTAGAGAGGATCTGGATGAAGGGCAAATGTTGGTACTTGGCAAAGACCATTAAGAGGAGCCCCTGCATTCGGATGTGGGAGATCTGTAGGAGAACGAGGGCAAAAGTCATTCACTGAACTGCACATGCTAAGTGTACTCCTGCCAGGCCTGGTGCTAGGCACTCCCCACAGCCCCAAGCCACGTGCAATGCCTACCCCAGGGTCTACAGTACCCCAGTTTGAATCTCAGAGTTTTACTCCTTTCCTGTCTTTCCCTCAGGTATATTCCAAGGGAATATAATTCTCACACATAATAGGTTTCACTTTTTGCTGGTGGACTTGGGGGTAGAAGGGAGAGAAGCTGAGGCTGCCAGAACTCCTGCTATTATTAGGGCCCTGACTCTTCAGTCCTAGCTGTACACATGCCTAGGTGCTCCTCTCACTGATGCTGCCCTGAGACTCTTGGGTACTGTCCATGAAGGCAATGTACTAGGGATGACAGCGAGTATGAAGGATGTATGTTTGCAGGTCTGGGAGAATAACATCTATTAAAGTACTTGATCTCAAATCCTTGCATCAATCATCTAAAGAGTCACTGTCCATTTTGTAGTTGTAGGACTGAAACTCAGGGAGGCTAAGGAACTAGTAGTCCTATTCTACGACTGCCAAAATGCCACTATCTGCAGCTGCAGGGGGTGGGGTGGGAATGGGCCGCAGCCAGTGACCCTCTCTCAGGATCAGATTGTCTACACCCACCATCTAAGTGGTTGTTTCCGGAGCGGGAGGTGCAGAGGCCAAGGAGGAAATCCCCGGGTGGGGAGTGTACTGTGGCCTTCCAGGAATTATGAAACTTGAACCCACAGGCTAAGAACCTTAGCACAGTGAAAGAGTCAAAGCAGGGGGAACCCCAAACTGCGCACTGAGAAAGAGAAGTGTTAGAACCCAACGTTGGTCAGAGGTTGCTACAAATATGTCCTCAACATCACCCTCCAACCCCACTTGGGCTGGACTACAAGGGACTGACTCCCACGGTAAGGGCTGGCATCTGATAAACACTCATGAATAGATTTGAGCTTACTCTTAACTCACAGGCCAGGTTTAGGGCACTGGGCTCCATCATAAAGACCATTTTACTTTGTTAAGGAATAGGAAGAAGTGAGGAGGAGGAGGGAGGATGGGCTTGGGGGCATACATGACAGAGTCAGGTTGAAAGCTTGGGGCTGTGGGGAAAAGCAGGAGACTTTAGGGGAAATTTGGAGGAAATGAAGTAGGAGGTGCTAAAGAAGGGACTGGCAGGAGGTGGGGGGAAGGCTGGGGAACAGCAAAAGGGGTCAGCCCAGGCTTCTCAACCTGTTGGTGACAAATCTCTACCCAAATAAGCTGTAAACAGGGCTTGCCAGTTAACCTCAATTCTTGTCTGGGGCAAAAAGCATCATCTGTCCTGGGTGCCTGGACCTCAGGTTGGCCTCCCAACCTCGGGAGGCCAAAGGGATGGAATGGGTTGTGTCCCTACCACAGGCTGAGCTAATTTCCTTGGTTCAGCTCCATCCTCCCAAGTCCTGCTAGTTAGCCAAGGCACAAGGAGGCCTGCTGGGAAGGGAGTGAGTGGTGAGAGAGGTGGTGCAGCTCTCCATGAGGATTTAGCTCCAAGTTCATAGGAAGAGGCCTAAGATTGATTAGGAAGGAAACAAGAGCTCAGAGCCTGGCATTTTCTAGCCTCGACAGGAGGACTAAATCTTTTTTTCTGAGGGGATGTAGCTTTTTTTTGTTTTGTTTTGATGTAGGGTCTTATTGTGTAGTTCAGGTTGGCCTTGAATTCACTAGGTAGCCCAGGCTGGACTCAAAACCTGTGGCAATTCTCCTTAAGGAGGACTAAATTTTTTTTCTTTTTGGTGCCAGGGATAAAACTCGGGACCTTGCACTTGCGAAGCAGGTGGCAGAACCACTGAGCTAAATCCCTGGTCCAAGAAGACTAAATCTTATATTCCCTCTTTTCCTTCAAACATGCATACCTTTTGCTCCAGCACCCTCAGGGAAATTAGGGTAACAGAATTAACCCCCCACTTAGGTGCTAGGAACTGAGCCCAGGGCTTTGTGCATACTAGGCTATAACTCTACTACTCAGCCACATGTCCAGCCCTGTGTAACAGAATGAAGAACAGAAGTCACCTGGGAGGAAACAAAAGGACTCTTGACATTTCCAAGAAATCTTAAACTAAGTGCTTTGAGTAGGAGGAGCACATCTCATCCCTCAGAGTGCAAAGCAGAAACAAGAAGACCCTGCAACTAGAGCCTTCTGTGGATTCTACTAAGGTCTAAAGCTTCACCAAAGTATATTGGTCCCTCAGGTTAAGAACCTTTTTCCACCATACCCATCTCCCTTTTCCTTTTTTTTTTTTTAAACTTTAAAATTTGTATTTTATTTCTTTTTGGTACCAGGGATCAAACTCAGGACCTTGAGCTTGTGAGACAGGCATGGTGCCACTGAGCTAAATTCTCAGCCCTTGTTTTTATTTTTTTGATACAGGTTCTTGTTATGTAGTTAGGTCTGAACTTAAATACATGGTGATCCTCCTGCTTCAGCCTCCTGAGTACTGGCCTAACAGTGTATGTCACCATGCCCAGCGAATTTTTCTTTTTAAAACCTTTGAGACATGATCTATAGTGGAGGCTGGCCTGGAACTCTGCATGTAGCCCAACTTGAATTCACAATCTTCCTGCCTCAGCCTCACAAGTGCTGCGATTACAAGTGTGCACCCTCATAACTGGCTCCCTATCTCTCCTTTCCTAACCTCCTGAACTCCAGGGATTTGACCTGCATGTCCTCTATGATCAGAGGACACCATCTGATATCAGCATGTTAGACATGGGATATCTATAAGCCCCACAGCTCACAAGTAAGCTATACAATTAGTATAGCAATAAAATACAGTAATTTAGGATATGGGCTATGAAGTTTGAAGGACCTAGATTCAATTACCAAATAGCCTATATGACTTTTGAATCTTAGTTTTATCTGTAAAATATCCCCATTTCAAGAGAGTTGTTAAGATTTTAGTTTATTTGTGGCTGAGGTAGGAGGATCACAAATTCAAGGCCAGTCTGGGCAACTAAGCAAAACCCTGTTTCAAATAAAATCTAAAAAAGGGCTAGAGGGGCCAGGGATTTAGCTCAGTGGTTCTGGCACCTGCTTTGAAATTGCAAGGACCCAAGTTCAATCCCCCGTACCAAAAAAAAAATAATAATAATAATAAAAGGGCTAGAGATATACCTGAGTGGTAGAGTACTAGGTTAGCATTCATAAGGCCCTAAGATCAACCTCCAGTGCAGGGGAGGAAAAAAAGTTTATTTTTAATCTTTAATATCAAATAACTGTTCCACAAGTGGTAGCAATTATTATACTCAGAGATTTCAGGCTGGGTAATGAATAGAAACTGTAGGGTGAGGCAGAGGTAGGCACTCGGTGTTAGTAATCTTGGCTGCACTGTACTAGGAATTCTCCCAAGTGACAAATAGGTGTGAAACTAACTCCTACAGTCCTAGCTTGGCTCTAGGAATCTTAGAAAGGCACAAGGCTGGCAAGAGCCCCAAGGAGGCATGAAGAGTGAGGCTGAAACCTTTTAATAAATGGGAAACAGCAAGAAAAGCTGGGAGTGGGGGGAACACACAATCAAACAATGTGGGTCAGTGGAGCTGACACTTTCTTCATTACCCATGAACTTGTAAGTTACCTTGATGAAGCTCAGAGGGGAGAGTACATCCATGAAGAAGTTGCTCCATGGGTCCTCAAAGGCAGTGTTGGAAAGGAGGCTTATGATCCCAGAGTTGACTTCCTGCAAACTAACCATCCTAGGTCAGAGAACACCACCTCTCCCAAAGATATTTAGTACTGCCCCACCAGACTTTCTCACCCTAGTTTTTTTTTTTTTTTTTGGCGCCGGGAATCGAACTCAGCTCCTTGTGCTTGCAAAGGAGGTACCAGAACCACTGAGCTAAATCCACAGCCCCTAGTTCTGATGGCCATGATTTCTCCCTCCCCAAGCTGTTTGGCTGTTGGTATCCAATTTCTGACCATTGCTGATCTAGGACAAGAGAGGCTGAAAAACACCCCACCTTCTGACTCCAGAGTAAGGAAGGTAAATTACAGAAGTTGCCTACAGAATTAGAAGAATGAGTGTAAGGGCCCTGTAGTTACCTACCCAATGATATATATGTCCAGATTCAGGTTTGGGTCATTCAGCTGAAGCAGGTCACTGAGGTCTAGAGGGGGTGCTTCGGAGGCCACATTCCATGTCACAACATGAATGCTGTAGAAGGGATACAAAGGGAAGCCACAGAGGAAGGGGGTCAACATCTTGTCCAAATAATAGACAAGGGTCTAGGCCTACTAATGGTTGTACCATAATCCACTGCACAATAATGGCAAATGCGTTTCTGTCTCTGGTGATAGAAGGAGTAACGGAATCTACCCTAGACTGGATTCTCCATGCAGGTCCACAGCTGCCCACACCTGGCTGCTCTGGTGCCGCCAAGATCAGCAGAGATGCTGAAGGGAACCCACAGGCTCTTAGGCAAAGGAAAGGATGGGGAGGGGGAAAGGCTGGATGGCTGGGAATTTACTAATCCATCAGCTTCTCGAGCCCTCTACAGTGATTGTCTATGGCTCAGACAACAACTTTCTACACTCACACAACTCAGGAGTTCCTAAAATGACTAGGAAGATCTCAGGGTTCAGGTTCAGACTGTACCTTGTGAGAGGCCTCAAGCTAAGAGGGCAAAGGAATTTCAAAAAATAACAGAGGGGGCCGGGGATTTAGCTCAGTAGTTCTGCCACCTGCCTCACAAGTGCAAGGTCCCGAGTTCGATCCCTGGTACAAAGAAAACAACAACAGAGATGACATTACATTTCCTTCCTTGCAGATCCCTATAGCTCAACAAATGCACCAATTCCTTCAGGGAGCCTGAGGAGATGCATCTAAGTAACAGGTTTCTTAGTATCTCTCTCAAGAGACTACCCTCTCTTTAGAAAAGTCATTAATTAGATAACATTATCCATCCCAGCTTCATATGAAAGAACTAGATCCATGGCTCTTAATAATACTCTATCTTGTCAGGGAAAAGAGACTTGAAGAATTTTGGGGGTTGAAACAGGGTCTCACTATGTAGTTCAGGCTGGATTTGAACATATTACAATAGCCAAGGCTGGCCTCAAACTTGTGTCCATCCTCCTGGCTCAGCTCCCAAGTGCTGGGATTACAGACATTCACCACCACGCTGGGTTTGCAGAGCTATTTAACTGAATAATTCCAGCAGTGCTCCAAGGAAACGCAGACGATGCTGAGTACAGATCAGGCAGGAGGTACAGACCCTGAAGAGATCAAGAACAGCTATAAAAATTCCTGCGAATCTCAAGAACACTGTAAGAAAGAGTGAAGCAACTGAAAATCCAGAATGCGGCCAGGGGAGGATAAAGGCGGGGCTGGAAGAAAAGGGCAGGTTGTTTTAAAACATGTCTTCAAACAAACAAAACAAAATAGTCTTAAGGGCCGAGGATTTAGCTCAGTGGTGCCACTGCCTGCCTCACAAATGCAAGGTCCTGAGTTCAATCCCCAGTACCAAAACCAAACAAACAAAAAACATGTCTTCTCCACTAGACCTTGTTCTTAGAGGTCCATGTCCTAAAAAGCATGACTTGAAAAAATTCTTGGCCGTCTTAAAGCAACTTCCTGCCTCTCCTTTGAACGTAAACAAAATAATACAAAAACCATCATCTCCGGAACTATGAGATTAGGTACTTCATTTGTTTACGATCTCCCCCTGCCGTACAAGTGAGGTCTAAGGAAGGTAGCCCTTTTACTCAAAGGCTCCTTGTTTCCCCAGGGACGTGTTCTTCCTGGATGGAGAACAGAAGTCCCCTCTCTCAGGTTCCAGATTAGCAGTAAATTCGTGCATCGTGACTTACACTAAGTTGGTGATTAACGTTATCCCTCGTAAAAGAGCAGGCACGAGACCAGGCATGAGCACAGGAATAAATTTATTAAAAGAATTTATCTAAATCTGATTCTAATTTCTGGATCACGTAGATTCCAAGGTGTATATCCTGATTTTGAAAAGTAGGACTAAGACTTCTAGTCTAGAGCTAAGGAGCGAACGCATTATGTCCTTAGCATCCTAGCACAGGTGTCTCTTCCAAAGACCAAGAGGGTCACTTGCTCGGGACACCCTAGCGGGAACGAGCTCCGGGACCTAAATTTAAGGAAGGCTCGAGGCAGAGACCCTACATATCCCAGACATTGGTCTGGAAGAATGTAGGTGGGCTTCCGAACCAGGAGCAACCGTGAAGCGCGTCCGTCCATTTGTTCTCTGGTTCTTCCCAGAGGACCGCAATCTCTATAGGGCTGCAGTAAGCGATATGCCCCGGCCGGCTCGCAGATGTCCTCCTTACCTGAGCTTCATCTCTTTCGCCACGGTCAGCTTCCGCTGACTCAAAGCGTCCATCATTCCCACGCGATGGTTCAGCAGGCTTGCGTCTCCTTGGCTAAACTGGTCCCTCCCGAGCAACCCCTCGGGCAGCAGGTCTTCAATGCCTCACTAGTTCCTGGTTATTTTTCTGCCGGATTTTGACCGTCCTCCACGGCTTCCGTAAGAGGCTCTAGGTGGTGCGGTTCGGGGAAAGAGGCGGGACAAGCCAACAGACGCTAAATGTCTACAGGCTGAGAGGGACTGACCCGGGACGTAAAAGAGGAGTGTCTCGCTTGTCAACAGAACCCGACGCAGCAATGTACAGGCCTATGGGCGAGCGGGTGGCCCGGGAGCCCCACCTCCCCGCCATTCCCAGCCTGCCCCGCACGGAGCCGAATAGGGAGCACCTTCCGGCGGAAGTCGCCGCCAGCTCTGCAGGAGCGTTTGAGTGCTGCCTGGCTCGCGACTAGGCTGACTTCAGTGGTGTTCCTTTCAGCGCCTCCCGCGCTGACTTAAGGGCCAGACTGAGGTAGGGACCGGCAGGCACTGTTGGGCTTGTGATCTGGCTTCTTCCCTTATGTTGGTCACCGCGTGCATGCATTCTTTTCAGGCTGTTTTTCGAACTCCTTTTTTTTTTTTAAAACCTGCTATACACGGGGACATTATACGGTTTCTGGGCTTTTGGATAGCCGCCTATTGAGGAACTGAAAAAATAAGTCATTTCTTCTGGTCTTTATCTAACAGTAAACAAAGTGAACCTGGCAAAAGACTAACTACAATTTAGTCAGTTTTAAAATCTTTGCGGGGGAGTTAAGGGAGACCGCGTGGGATTCCATTGAAAGCCACGACTCCCACCCTCTCCCCGAAAAAGCACACAATTTTACAAACAAGCTTCATAAGGTTCGTGGACCCTGATGACAGGTTAAAGGCCCCCTTTATTTTTTTTGAGACAGGATCTCATTTTGTAGTTCAGGCTGGCCTGGAACTGATGACGATCCTCCAGGCAGGGGCCCACCATGCCAGGCGGAGGACTCTCTTTTTCAGACGGGCCTCGCTATGTAGTTTCAGGATGTTCTTGAACTATGTACCCCAGGCTGGCCTCAAACTCGAGGCAATCCTCCTGCTTCAGCCTCCCAAACGCTGGATTACAAGTTGTAGGCCACTGTGCCTGGCTAAGGATTTCTATTTTATTTATTTAGTTTTTTTGAGACAGGGTCTCTAATTCAGGCTGAACTTGAACTCATGGCAATCTTCCTGCCTTAGCTTCCCAAGTACTAGCTTTAAAACCTATTTATATGCCTGTAATCCCAGCTCTCAGGAGGTGAGGGAGGAGAATGGAGTTTGAAGCCAGCTCCTATTTTAAGCCCTGCAGGGTGCAGGGCTCCAGCAGTCCCAGCCACTTAGGAGGTTCACGGAGGATAGCTTGACTGGAAGGGTTTGAGGCCAGAGTGGGCAATACAGAAAAATCCTGTTGCAAAAGAAGAAAAAATCTTCCTACCTTAAATGTTTCACTTAGTAGGGTGGATGAGGAATATGTGAAAGTGAGACCAAAGCAAAACGAAACACTGCCAGTAGAAATAGCTAAATTACATTTAGATACATAATGCTGCATAAATTGACAAAGGAATATTTAATTAATGGAAATCACCTGCAAAATTTTTCATGTCATTGTATCTTTTCCTAATCCTACCCTGATAAAGGGGAGAGGGAACATCAGTAAGAGTCTGAGGATACAGAGTTGTAAATTGGACATAAGAACACCACCAGTAAGCTGGACTCCAGAAAGCTCTGTCTAGGATTTTATTAGACTGCTTTTTTTTTCCCTCCCCAATATACCTGTATTGGAAGATTGAGACATAAAGGCACAAACTCACATTAAATAAAGTAATCTAATCAGTTCTACAAAGTGTAGTTTGTAAAAGTAGCACTAGGAACCAACCAAATAAGTCAGGGAGTCCCAGTGGGGACTGTAAAAGGAGACCGTGGGAAGATAAACACATGCCCACAATACTGACCCTGACCTCACCCTCTCTTGGTGAGAAGGCCAGAGCCCAGCAGCCCTTATGCAGGAGCACCGCTGCTTTCAGCTGGGCCCGAGACCCTGCAAGTCTAAAGGAAGCAGCTGCTCTGCAGGGGTGCAGTGCACCCTCAGGTGTTCTCCCCCTGGAGCTGAGCCTTTGCTCAGAAGCCCCTCTGAGTGCTAGACAGTTTGAGGTGGGTGAGGAGGGATGGGGTACTTAAAAGAAGCCAACACTGTTACCCAGCAGCTACACCATCTGCGAGGACAGAATACCAGGGACGTTGTTCCTCCTTTTTCCTTTCAGCAGGAGCCCCAGAAAATAGCTCAGCTCATTCAGATGTTTTCAGTTGGGGTGGGATTCGCAAGTGGGTGGAAGTGGAGGAGCCAGAGAAAAGGCAAATAAAGAATGAGCTCCCATCAGAGCAGATGTGTGGATCTCAAAGAAGAGCTGAAGAAAGGCGACTTAACATCTGATCCTCACCCCATGTTAAGAAATGTCTGCTTATAGTCTATTTCTCATAACTCACCTTGTTGACGAATGAAGAGAGAACGTCTTTAAGCACAAATATAATTAATAGGTAATACAGAGCTTGTAGGAAAACATTTACATTTTTCTCCTGTAGGAATGCCTCTTGTTCAACTTTCCCAGTCCAATACACACTGGCAGCAGTTGAGATGCTAATCACCAACTAAATGCCCAGGTCCATTACTAAGGACCCAGCAAAGTGGGGAGAGAGACAGAGGAAAAGTGTCTGTAAGAGGACATCTCTGGTCCCAAGGGGACCTCAGTGAAGGTCAGAGCTAACCATGCCAAGGGGTTGGAATTTTCAGCTCTTGCCCCAGGAGGGCCACAGGAAACCATCCATCAGGCTGTCTCAGGTGCAATCCCGTGAGACACTCCCTTATTGCACTTAGAAATGAGTAAGGTAAGGCAAACAAACTGATAACATCATAAGGATAAATTAGCCCATCCCACTTCTTGCTCTCCCAAGGGAGATTTTGGTCTCTCTCAGCAAGAGGCACCCAGGCTAGCATGGGATTGGATGACTGCATGCTCAGGCTGACATAACTTTGCAAAGTTTTGGAACAGGTGACACTGCAGCCATCTTGGATTCTCCCACCAGGAAGGCATACTCTGGTTCTGCCTAGTTGTAGTAATTAGGAAGCACTCGGCAGCCTCTACTGCCCTGGAACCTGGACTCCTCCAGCCTACTTTGGTAGAATTCTATACTATGATCACTGCTCATTTGATTGTCCAGGACAGAATTCTCAGCATGGGGGCAGGACCAGCTGAGTTCTTTTTCTTCAAATTCCTTTCCAATGATTAGAGACAAGAGGTTACATGTTCTGCTGGAAAAGAAAGCTTTTTGCATGCTCATTGTGTGCAGCATGAAGAGATCAGGACTCTTGCATTCTAACCAATCTCAAAGACAGAGGATAGGGATCTAAGAAAGCACAGAGAAAAGAGGATTATTGCTGAGTGGCAGCACCAGCCCAAAAGGGAAGAGGAGCATGGACATATAAAGCTCCTCAGGGTCAGACGGACCAATATCTACAGGACAGACTGAATTCTAAGGGCCACAATGGACAAGTCCCTCCAAGTAGAGAGGTGTCTCATAGGCCCTCCAGAAGGATTCAGACACAATGGGCAACAGGAGGGCCAAGAAGCTATAGTTGTTTCTAAGAATAATGGCCAGAGATACAGAGACTGGGACAGGGATTGTTCATATTTGTTAAGTTATCTTAAACAGAGACTGCCTGGGCCTTGGCTACCTCCTTGGTACTTAGAGCACTCTTAATAACATGTTACTGGAGTCAGAGTTATGGGCCACATTGTTATTCTGTGGAACTGGGAGTGTGGGAATTCTGTATTTCTAACTCATCCTCTCTCCCCAAGTTAGCACTCAAAATTGCAAAGATCTGCCCAGAAAGCAAAAATATTACAGTTTATCCCAAGATTGAAAACAAAGGAACTTAAATCACCACATCACAAAAGGCAACTATTTTGAAAGACTAAAAGTGTCACTTGGAAATTGGGGGGGTGGGGACACACAGAAATGGGTCAGAACACAATGGGGAGAGAGGGAGGAGCTGTAAATACATCAGCCTACTCCCCACATATCTCAGAGGAGCAGGCTCCCGCGCACGTGGGCTTTGTAATACCGGACGGTCTATTTGTTCACAATATTAAAGGGTATCTAGAATTAGCTACGGTAAGGGATCGAAAGTTGCCTGAAGAATAGGTACAGAAAGGCTGCGTCCGAAGATGGCCTGTCACTCAGGAGGGTGGAGCTGCTGGGCCTTCCTGTTGACCATTGTCTTGCAAAACTAGAAGAGAAATACAATTATTAAGGAAGCAAGAGAAGAAGATAGAAGCATACTGCAAATCATCTTGAACAGAGAAATTTCAAGAGCCAGGATGCCAGCTCGTGGGGAGGGAAATGGGAGAGAGGACACTAAGGCCCCAGCAGTGACCAGGAAGCTGGCACTGCAAGAATCCACTTAATCCTACCCTTCTGTCTTCCAGAAGCTGCTTTAAGGACATAGGCAGCAAGAGCATGCAGAGGTTTGCATTGCACAGCCAATTTTTTTATTTGATGAAATTATTTTCTCAGTTTGAGTAGGGCCAGGGTTTCATTCATGACCACTCTGGGCTGCGACAATATCTTGGATCTGCAGGTGTGCAGAATACTGGGGAGACAGCACTGGAAGCTAACAAAGGAAGCACGCCAGGGGAGTGACAATATAAATCAAGTGACACCCTACTTCCGGCCCTATGACCTGGGCAGCAGCACTGCCCCACTATCTGAAAGGTGTTGCCTTTGTTACTCAGTATGGGACCCCGGGTCATAGAGAAGGAAATGAAGAACCAAACACAACAGAGAATGCTTATAAAAGCTGTTTGGCCAGCAGATTTTTCAGGGGGCAGGGCAGGGAATGCCTGCCAGTATTTGGCAGTGTGGAACTGGCTCTGACATGAAGAGTACAGGATAGGCACAAGCATGCTGGTGTCTCCTCGACATGGCTCGAGTTCCAAGAGGGGAAGTGATGAATGGCACATGAGCTTTGTTTCTGCATCCACAGCCTTTGGAAGCCATAATCCTTTTCAGTGAAAGCCCAAGAGCTCGCCTTTAACATGGCAGCCATCATCACTACTACAGTGAAAGATGAGGGGTGAGGTCGGTTTTCTGACTCCATGGTGAGCCGCTGGGGCCTTGAGGACCCAAACCAAGTTTTTGCTTCTATGACATGCACAGTGAGGAATAAAGTACATACAGTGCAGAAAGGGAGGGGTGGCTTTAGTCATCTGCTGTCATTCCTTTCACTGGGTCCTTTTGTCTCATCTGGAACAGGAAAAAAACAACAATAACAACAACAACAAACCAGGGAAAATTGAGAGCTTTTGCTGTGAATAGAACTGTACCATGAATTCCACCTGCTTTCTCAATGCTGCTAATAGGATGGAGCAGTTTTTTGTTTTGTTTTGTTTGCAGTACCAGGGATTGAACTCAGCACCTTGAGCTTGCAGGGCAGTCAGCGGCACCAACTGAGCTAAATCCCTGGCCCAAGGATGGAACAGTTTTTACGCCCAAAGCAGAAACCTCCACAGAATTTGGCATGTGTACAGCCAAAGCCAGACCATTTCTACCTCTATCCCTGGCCCCACCATTTAACCACAACTTAGTAATACATTACTGCAGAGCCATCTTTTTTTTGTGTGGAAGCTGGGATTGAACACAAGACTTTGTGCTTGCCAAGCTGGCACAGTGCCACTGAGCTAAATCCCCAGCCTTGCAGAGCCATCTTAGTAAGATGGGACTTCCTTATCAGGGAACTTGATGGCTTCTTCCAAATCAGAGGTGAGGTCCTTTCAAGAGGGTGCCACTGAAACAACTTTTCTTTTTTTTGGTACTGGGGCTCAAACTTGAGGCAGGCACAGTGCCACTGAGCTAAATCCCTGGCCCTACAGATGTTTTATTCTCACAGTGAAATGTCCTAAAAATGGCAATTTGCCCCTTCCTGGGGCCTACATGACATGAGAGATTTATCTGATTGTGGTGTTCCTCAAATCCAGCCAATGTAAGCTTTGTATATATTTGAAGAATATGAAAATAGAAAAGCTAATCCTGTTTTTTGTCTTTTTTAATAGAAACGTTAGTGTTTATTGATATACTGCAAGAGATTGGCAGGTAAGTTTCCAAAGAGAATGGCTGGGCGTGGTGACACATGCCTGTAATCCCAGCACTTGTGAGGCTAAGGAAGGAGGACTGCTGTGAATTCAAGGCTGGCCTGAACTACATAGCAAGACTGTCTCAAAAAAAAAAAAAAAATTCCCACAGAGGACTCTGGACACCAGGGAGAATACAGGGATTTGAATCTTTTTTTTTTTTGTACTGGGGATCGAACTTGGGTCCTTGTACTTGCAAGGCAGGTGGTGGAACCACTGAGCTAAATCCCCAGCACCCCTCGGGTTTGATTCGAATGTGGGCTGGGTCTGGAAATGCCATCTGAGAATGCTTTCACGCATCTTGGTTCTGAGGACAGCCCAATGTTCTCTGGAAGCTGATGCAATGCCCTTGTTTGAGAGGCTCCAGTACCCTTGATATTGGTGGAAATAGTCCTCCTGTTACTGGGTTTTGGGGGGCTGGAGTCTCCTTCTGGAAGTGATTTCTACTTTCTGTTCTGAGCAAAGAAATGGTCAAGACGAGCACAAAATATAGCAAAGTTTTTTTTTTTTTTTTTTTTTTGGTACCGGGGATCAAACTCAGGACCTTACACTTGGAGGCAGATGTGGGGCCACTGAGCTAAATCCCCAGCCCGCAAAGTTTTATTTAAGGTAGGAAACAGGCTCTGCAGAGTGAATTTGGGTCAGGTAAAAGCAGGAAAAGAAGTAGAACCTACAGCATGAGAGTGGGCCACCTTGGAGGAGCAAGCGCAGTGGCAGGTCTTGTTTTAACAGTGTTGCTCACTAGGAATTTAGGGGTTTATTTATATTACCAGATTTCTTTATTATTATTATTATTATTGGCTTTTTGAGACAAGGTCTCAATATGTAGCTTAGGCTAAAACTGGCTTTGATCCTCCTACCTCAGCTTCCCAAATGTTGGGAATACAGGTGTACACCACCATACCTGGTCAGATTCTTTTTTTTTAAATGGTACAGGGGATTGAACTCAGGCCCTTGTACTTGCAAGGCAGGTGGTGGAACCACTGATCCAAATCCCCGGCCCATGGTCAGATTTTCTTAATAAAGATCTATATGTAGTTGTAAAGAATGGCTTTTTTGGGCTGGGGATTTAGTTCAGTGGTTCTGCTGCCTCGCAAGCACAGGACCTAAGTTCGATCCCCAGTACCAAAAAAAAAAAAAAGAATGGCTTTTTTAAGAGCAGGGTTGGCTGAATGAAATTTATATATTCATCTATAAATTAATCTATATATTAATTTATTTGAAATGCCATTTTAAAATATCATTCTTTTGAAATCTTTTTTACCAACTGGATATGGTGGCACACACCTGTAATCCTAGTACTATAGGAGGCTGAGGCAGGAGGATTCCAAGTTTGAGCCTAGCTGGGGAAATTTATTGAGTTAATGAGACCCTGATTTAAAAAAGGGGAGGAGGGAGGATGGTCTGGGGATACAGTTCAATACAAAGGCCCTAGGTTCCATCTCCAGTTTTTTAAAAAAATCATTTTTACTATTAAGTATAAAACAATCTAACATAAGCATAAAAAATAGTAGCCAAATTATTAATATCAATATCCTGGCTATGACATTATAGTAGAGTTTGCAAGATGTTATCATTGGTAGCAATTACAGAAAGGATACATAGATCTTTCTGTATTTTTGCTTACCAATGTACCTGAATCTTACAATTGTCTGAAAATTAAAAGTTCAGTAAAATATAAAACTGGGGAAAAAAAAATCAATTTTGAAGTACCAAAAAGCATCAACAAATAAAGGAATACTTCTAAAGAAATACAGTATCAAAACACTTATTTTCAAATCTTATTAAAAAGATTTATTCTTTACAACTATGCACAGGTCTTTAGTAAGAGGATCTGACCAGGTATGGTGGTGCACACCTGTATTCCCAACATTTGGGAAGCTGAGGTAGTAGGACTGAAGCAAGTTTTAGCCAAACTGCACAGTAAGACCTTGTCTCAAAAAGCCAATCATAATAGTAATAATAAAGAAATCTGGTAACATAAATAAACCCTTCAATTCTTTAATTCTACTTGTGGACATTTTTGTTTTGTTGAGACAGGGTCTTACTGCAGATTGGCCTTAAACTCACTATGTAACCCAGGCTGGCCACTTGTGCTTCCAGATGGTCTCAGATACAGATTTAACCCTTAATGAGTTTTGGAAGGAACATTACAACATCCCTTCTTGTGTGGGGTTGAGAAATCCTGGACCAGTGTCTCTCTAAGGTCATGGAGATCTGCCTAGAAGAAAGTGTGGTCTAATTATACAGTAGACTTTGAAAGCAAAAACTAACCAACCCCAGTTACAACCAGCCCTTGGGAATGAACTGAGTTCATAAGTCAAGAGTCCACTGTATACCTTTAAGGGACCTCCTTCATTATGAACTTCTAAGGGCCAGGAATTTAACTCAGTGGCACCACACCTGCCTCACAAGTATAAAGTCCTGAGTTCAATCCCTAGTACAGCCAAAAAAAAAAAAAAGAGAGAACTTCTAAAGAATAAAAACATGGAAGAGCAAGGAAGATGAGGAGGGAAACAAGAGGGGAGAAGGAGGAGTAGGGAAAGACAGAGAGACAGAAAGAAAGATGGGAGAGATAGAAGGGGAGAGGGAGAGGGGAAGCTGTTCTCCTACAAATACACATCTCCTGACATTTTTCTTTTTAGGGCAAAAAACTAATCTCTTGATCCCTTGTTTTGTAAATCTTTGAGCTTCCACCAAGAATGGTGGATCCACCCTCCACAGAGACTAGATTTCCTGCAGTGTGGCCTTATAGTGATCTTTCAAAACTCACACTAGACTACTATGCTTTGCTTTAAAGTCATAAAAATAGAAAAAAGTCATAATCCCTACTGCAAGCTAGCAATGAACCACAGCAGATTAAATATCTGCATTTTTCTATTTCTCCCCAAAACCTAGTATGACAGTAAAGGACCTCATCTACCTATCATGTCTGTCTCCAGAAAGACAATAAAAACAGAGGTGAAGCCAGGCGTGGTGGTGAACGCCTGTAATCCCAGCACTTGGGAGGCTGAGACAGGAGGATCGCTGTGAGTTCAAGACCAAACTGGGCTACACAGTGAGTTCCAGGGAAGTCTGAACTACATAGTGAGACCGTGTCTCAAAAAAAAAGAGGTAAAGAGGTGATATCAGCAAATAAGAGATGGCAACAAGGCAGTGGGGGAAGGGGACATAAAAACAGAGTTAAGGGATGAGGATTTAGCTCAGTGGTGCTGTGCCTGCCTCACAAATACAAGGTCCTGAGTTCAATCTCCGGTACCAAAAAAAAAAAAAAAACCTCACAATTTAGGGAGTAGCGAGAGAAACTTCAAAAATCTAAAACCTATTCTCGTAAGGCTTGGTGGCACACGCCTGTGATCCCAGCACTCAGGAGACTAAGCCAGGTGAATCATGAAGTCGAGGCCAGCTTGGACTACTCAATGAGCTCCTGTCTCAAAAAAGCAAATAAATAAACAAATAAAACCTCATAGTTTTAGAAACTGAAGCTAATGCATAGAGGGGGGAAAAAAGCGCTATATTTAAAAAGAACACAAAGGCCAGGAATTTAGCTCAGTGGTGCTACTGCCTGCCTCACAAGTGCAAGGTCCCAAATTTGATCTCTAGTACCAAAAAAGAAAAACAAACAAACAAAAAAACCACAAAATAAGAAATGCTTAAATTATTTTTAGCTCATCAGAAGTTAATGTTGAAAAAGAAAAGACCAGAAAGGGGAGAAGGGTGAGAAACCATAAGAAAATTAAGACAGTCAATTCATGAATAAAAATTCAAGGAGAATAAGAACAGAAGGGAGAAAATTACCAAATAAATAGTGCAAGAAAGTTTTCCAGAACCAGAGGGATCTTCTGATTCACAGTGTCAGTGAAGTGGGAGCGAAAGGAGTGAGAATGGCCCAGCACCAACATTATTCTGCAGAGTACCTCACATACCGCCAACCAGACCACCCATACACAGCAAAACTTACTGGCACAGACACAGAAAACTAAGCTAACAAAAAGAAGAGAAGCAATCATTAATATTTTGTTGTTGTTTGTTTTTTTGGTACTGGGGATTGAACTCAGGCCCTTGCGCTTGCAAGGCAGGCGCAGGAACCACTGAGCTAAATCCCTGGCCCTGTTGTTTGTTTTTTGAGATAGGTCTCACGTAGTTTAGGCTGGGCTTGAACTCACTATGCAGCCCAGGTTTGCCTGCAACCCTCCTGTTTCAGCCTCCAGAGTGCTGGGATCACAGGCATGAGTCACCACACTCAGTTTAATATTTTGTTTGTTTGTTTGTTTTTGGTACCGGGGATCAAACTTGGGTCCTTGCGCTTGCGAGGCAGGCCACCAAACTGCTGAGCTAAATCCCCGGTTTGTTTTTTTTGTACTGGGGATCTAACTTGGGACCTTAAGCTTGCAAAGTAGGCGGAGGAACCACTGAGCTAAATCCCTGGCCCAGTTTAATGTTATGTTATGTTATGTTATTTATTTATTTTTTAAATTTATTTGGTACTGGGGATCAAACTCGGGTCCTTATGCTTGCGAGGCAGGCGGTGGAACCACTGAGCTAAATCCCCGGCCCAAAATAGGGTTTTTGTTTGTTTGTTTTTTGAATATTTTGGTGTTTTCTTGGTAGCAGGGTTCAAACTTGGGACCTTGTGCTTGTGAGGCAGGCTGCAGAACCACTGAGCTAAATCCCCAACCTAATGTTGTTTTAAAAAACAGTATGAGAAGGGCCAGGATTTAGCTCAGTGGTTCTCCCACCTGCTTCGCAAGCCCAAGGTCCTGAGTTCTATCCCAGTACAAAAAGAAACAAAACAAAACAAAACAAAAACAGAATAATAAGAGAAAGAAACAAATATCAAAAGTAGAATTCACGGCTTAGTTGAGGAGAAAAATGATAGTCATAATAAGACTGCTAATAAAGAATTAACCAAAGCTTGTCATATGAAGGTTGAACAAGGGAAGGATGCTAGTGGAGAAAATCTCCCATAGGAAGAAGCTAACAGTTACTATTTAAACTGAGAAATTAAGAATTAAGAGCATAACTGGACATGGTGACTATAATCCTAGCACTTGGGAGGCTGGGGCAGGAGTATTGCCACCAGTTAGAGGCCAGCCTAAACTACACAGTGAGACCCTGTCTCAAAAAAAAAAAAAAAAAAGGCATAAAACCACACAGAGGCACATGCCTATAATCCCAGTAACTCAGGTGGCCATGGCAAGAGGATTACAAGTATGAAGCTAGCCTACATAATTTAGCCAGATCTTATTTCAAAATAAGAAATTAAAGTAACTGGGGGAAGAACAGTGGAAGAGCATTTGCCTAGCATTTACCAAGGCCCTGTGTTCAATTTCCAGCACCAAAAAAAAAAAAAAAAAAAAAAAAAAAAAAGAAAAAAAAAAAGGTACATAAACTAGGCACAGTGTGGTGGTACACTCCTATGATCTCACTTCTTGGGAGGCTGAGGCAGGAAGAATCTAAGTTGTAGGCCAGCCTGTCTCCAAATAAGGCAAAACAACAACAAAAAACTCCAAAAACAGTGTTGGAGATGTAGTAGTAGATACAGATATAGTTGGAAATATAGTAGTAGAGTGCTTCCCTAGCATGAACAATATCCTGTGTTCAATTCCCAATACTGCAGTAAAAAATAAAAATAATTAAGAGCTTAAGCATATCATTTGAAAATCTGAGAGCAGTGGTGATACATGCCTATAATCCCAGCATTTAGGAGGCTGAGGCAGGAGGATCACCACTTGGGGCCAGCCGACTACATAGTGAGTTCAAGGCCAGCCTCAACTATCTCAAAAACAAAAAACAACATAGGGGCCAGGGATTTAGCTCAGTGGTTCCACCATCTACCTCAAAAGTGCAAGGTCCCAAGTTCAATCCCTGGTACCAAAATAAAAAACTAAATAGTCAGGTTTGTTGGTACAGGCCTGTAATCCTAACACTAAGAAGGCTGAGGCAGGAGGATTGCCATGAGTGCCAGGCCAGCCTGGGCTACATAGTGAGTTCAAGGCCAGTTTGGAATACATAGTGGACCCTGTCTCAAAACAGACAAACAAAAATAAATAAATAAATAAAGCTTTGACAAAAGAAACATATGATTATTTTTGTGTGTGGTGCCAAGGATTGAACCTAGGGTCCTTTCCCCTGCCCCCTTGTTTTTGTTTCTTTGAGACAGGGTCTTGCTATGTAGTTGAGACTGACCTGGAACTCACTATGTATCCTAGGATGGTCTTGAACTCACAGCAATCCTCCTGCCTCAGCCTCCCGAGTGCTGGGATTACAGGTGTGTGCCACCATGCCCGGCTCCCTTTGGTTTTTTTGAAACTAGGTCTCACTATGTAATTCAGGCTTCACCGAACTTACTATACAGCCTAGAATTACCTCAAACTCATGGTGATGATCCATCCTCCTGCCTCAGCCTTCCAAGTGCTGAGATTATAGGTGTGCACCACCACGCCAAGCTATTTGAACCCAAAGCCTTGCACTCTAGGCAAGTGCTATACCACCAAGCAACAACCCTAAGAATAAAACAAGACAAGGAAGCCAGCAGTAGGTAGCACATAAAAATCCTGCACAGCTGCTAATGAGGTTAAAATGTCCCACAATAATGTGGATTCAGGTTTGCTTCCTCTTCTACTGCACAGACGTTTCTGCTTTTGCAGTTAGCCTGAAGGACATTGATCATTCAAGCTATTGGCACAATCCTCCATGGAACACAAAAACTAAAGGGTGGAGGTTAGAAAACAAACCAAGCCGGGGATTTAGCTCAGCGGTTCCACTGCCTGCCTTGCAAGCACAAGGACGTGAGTTCGATCCCCGGTACCAAACCAAACCAAACAAACAAACAAAAAAACAAACCAACTCTGACTTGGTCAACCCCAGAGAGACCCAGCTGGAACCATGGCAGGGAGGAGCTAACCAGTTCATATTTATTGAAGGAAGGATGGAAAGAAGGGCAAGAGAACATTCTCTCATTGCAGGACACTTAATTTACCCATAAGAGCAACAAATTTCTCCCAGATACTCAAAGTATGAATAAATGAAAGAGCAAAATAAGTGACAGATAATAGGAAACACACCTTTTGCAAATGGGAAGAGGACCAAGAGATGGATCAAAAGCATTGTGATGTTATGCTCTTGTACCAACTCTCCACCATGACTCTAATCATTCTGTACTGAAAACATGTACTAAGAAAATAATTTTAAACCACCACCACCACCACCACCTCTCCCAGAAAGAGGACTACTGGCACCTGAGAATAACTGCATTGGGACCAATGTGACACAAAGGTGGACAGTAACAGCAGTCATATTACCCTCAACAAAGAATTACCAACTTGCCGCGCCAACTACAGGCATGTACTTCAGAAGACAGAACAAAAGGTATCATTCACCTATTGATCACTGTGAATAAATGTGGGAGCACTTAAAGCAACAGAAGTGTGCTTTCCTTCCATGTACACAGTTGTGTTTATGGAACAGCAGTCCTGTGACTATGATCCCATTGGGCATCTCACAGGAAGATCAGCCAGGGGTGCTGAAAACAGGGCTGCCCACTGTGGGCATTTCTTCAGTTCACAGCCTTGTAATTCTGTGCTATCCCAGCATACATGTCCACCCAGTATTTCAATGGATTGACTTGAAGATACTGGCTGGTTCCAGTGTCTAGTAATTTTATCTGGGAGGTGATTGTCAAGGGAAAGGCTATGGGGAAAAGAGAGGGAGTAATCATTTTCTTTTTTCTTTTTGGTACCAGGGATCAAACTTGCGCTTGTGAGGCAGGAGGCAGAACCACTGAGCTAAATCCCTGGCCCATAATCGTTTTCTTTTTCTTTTTTGGTTTTTTGAGACAGGGTCTCACTATGTAGTTGAGACTGATCTGGAACTCACTATGTAGCCCAGGCTGGTCTCGAACTCTCAGAGATCCTCCTGCCTCAGCCTCCCCAGTGCTGGGATTACCAGGCATGTGCCACCACGCCCGGTACCCATAATCATCTTCTTATGGGACCAAGGAAGATGCTAATGCTCTCTCATACATGAAAATGCTACCTGGGTGCAGTGAATTATCTCCTGTTTGTTGTCTATTCCACTTATTTTAAGAGGATTGTTCAGAATATAGTTGAGTCTATTCTAGTCAGGCAGCCGAACCACTGAGCTAAATCCCCAGCCCTAGTTGAGTCTATTCTAAATGAGGAGGGGACGAAGAGATGGAAGGAAGAGAAAGAGGAGGGAAAAGGAAAATAAAAAGGAATTAAGATGTGTTACATACATGCACCAACTCCCTATGATGAATATAATCATCATGTATTACAAACATGTACTAGTAAAAATAAATTTTTGAAGAGAGAGGAAAAAAAAACAACAACAAAAAACCAACTCTGAGATTCTGGATTTGAGGAAGGTCAATCTAGTAGATCCCTTGGAGAGTTCTAGCTGCAAGAATTTGAGCACTACAATCTGTTTTGGAGGCTGGAGATTGAACTTCAAATCTTGTACATGATAAGAGGTCCAAGATACTAAATTCTACTGGGTGAAAGAACAGCAGCAAACACTTCAGTACACTCACTACTCATTATATTGGCCTTTGTGGGGCAGTGGGTGACTGAGGCTCTGGGCTAAGCCGCAGTGAAAGTCTCCATGTTGCTCCATTGGTAACTTTTTCCTTTTCTTTTTGTCAGGAGAAGAGCCTCAAGCCTCTCTGATATACACCTAATTGCCAGTCACTTCCTGAGATCTTTAGCAGAAGAATCAAGGATTGCATCCCCAAATCCTGCCATTTCACTGCCAAATGTAGCTGAATGGATAACCAAAACGCCCTCATTCAGCAGGGGTTTGTGCACCATTTACCACTAAGTCAGCCCAGGAAAATGTCACCTGAGTGGTAAGAACAGTTCCGTAGGGGGCTCCAGAAAGAGGAAGGACTCAGGGCCCAGGCTCCCCGCAGGCCAGCACTGTCAAGGTCAGAGCACCAGGGCCAGGGCACCCAGGCCTGTTCTTTCACCTAAGGCCCTGCTGGAGAGCTGAATGGGGCTACTGCAAAGCAAGGCCTGTGGACCACTGGGCTCCATGCCAACCCCCACCATGGGCAAAGGGGGAGAGAACAATTGAAGCTCCTAAGAAAAGTGGTTTATCCTTTGCTTTTAGCCCCAAGAGGGCAATAGGGCTCCAAATGGCACCTCAAGGGAGAAGTAGTGGTGAGCCACGGCTCTGGGGCAGACAGTGCTAGGTTGTTTCACTGACTCTGTCACCTGCCCCCTCCCAGGTTTAGTGATAACTGCAGGAAATAGTGTATGTGACAGCCCCTGGAACAGTGCCAGACACACAAGGAGTGGGGTTCTTATGGAAGCCTCCCCAAATGAGGCAGAAGTGATGGGTCTTCAAACAGACAGAGTTCTCCTTCTGGGATTTGTGCCAAGGCCAAAAATAAAATAAAAAAGCAAAAGTTCCAAACTCAAAACAGCTGTCTAGAACCATTACAGCTGTGGGTACTCGTGTGGTATTCGTGGATCAGCCCAGCCGGCCTCCTACCAGGGTCACCTCCAGCTCTGCCGCCCAGCACACCCAACTCAGGGATCACTGCAGTGGCTGCATTACTCACTTGGCACATACCACCATATCAGTCTCTGTGGGTGTGCCAAGACCTCAACTAGACTGCACATTCAAGAGCACAGGCTGTTTTCTTCCTTGTAGTTCCCATAATGCCTGGCAGTGTATCTTACCCACAGGAGACCCTGACATGTTCCAGCACAACCATCTCCTTAAGAGCCACATATTTCTCTCTCTGAGAGCCAGTCTCCTCTAGGATCCCACTCACCTCATCCAGCTGTCTCTTTGTCTCTTCTTCCATCCTCCGAATGTCATCCATAGTCAGGTCAACCCACTTATCAAGCCAACAAAACAGCTGCCTATGGAAATTTGTAAACAGACGCCTCTCTTGCTATAAAAAGGAAGGGACCTAGTCAGAATTGAGAAGGTGAAGGCCACTGTAACATTCTCCTCCCCATGATCTCCGTGAATGCTAGTATCCACTGTACAGTACTGGGGAGGTAGACGGAACTGATGCCTGGCTGGCTTGTTTGTACTAGACATAGATCAGCGACTTCTACCTCAATGTGCTGAAAGGTAGCCCTCAAGAAGGACAGGTGTCTGCTTCACGGCTAGGTCTTTTTCCCAAAATAGGCAACCTGTGAGCTTCTAGCCAAGCTAAAGCCCCCAGCCAACTTCCTCATTTCCAGCTTGCCTCTGATCCCAACACCAGGTTATAACTGGCCAGCTGCTGCGAAGTGTGGCTCAAAAGAGTGTCTCTACCACATCACCACACACCATCTCTACCACAAGAAAATTTAGAGGCTGTAATACTCTTCAGGTCTGCCCAGTGAGAATTTGGCTCATGGTGACTCAAGCCCTTTTGGATTCAAGAAGAGACTGGGTTTTATTTGTAGTTCATAGAAAGCCCCTTCCTGTTTCCTTCCCTGTAGCATGTGGTCCCCTGGATGAACAGCAATGAACTAGAAGACAGTTATATGCATGGGAAAACAAACCAGTTAGGATACAGGTTGCGTAACTTGCAGATCTCCTCTGCTTGGGTGAAATACCCCTTACCAACATAGACAGCCGGGGCTTTAGCTCAGTGGTTCTGCTGCCTGCCTTGCAAATCGCAAGGTCCCAAGCTCAATCCCTGGTACCAAAAACAAACAAACACACACAGAGACATGCACATGCACCTCACCCAAGTCATTTACCTTATGTATAAAGTTTTCCACTTTGCTCTGCAGGCCCCACCACTTGAACTTGACAGTAACCAGTTTGTATGCACACATATAGGGGCAGTCTTTCTGATTTACAAGTTCTTGCTACATTAGAAACAGACGGAGAGGTGGCCAGTAACTAAGCAGAAAGACCTCAGGCTGTCCCTGACCCCAGCCTCCCCTCCCCTCCCTCGGGGAAGAGGCCCACCCACACAGTGCCGCGCCCCCCAGTGGTGAAGGGGTAAACTGCACCTTCCAATTTGGGCCCAAGGGTCCTCGGCCTGTTTTGACAGATTTAAATTTTGCTGGGTCTTCCTCTGCCTTGTAATCCTGAGAGGTTGTGGGATTAGGTTTGGAAGAGAGAGGCAGAGGGGACAGAGGAGGGAAGAGGAGAGGGAGAAATGAGAAGATCATAGTTTTAATTAGAATACACTTCATAACTAGTCTTGATGCTTCTGGCACACAACATATATGGGAAATGTTATAAACAAGAGGTAGTACTGTTTACATTTCTCTCAGAGGACTGTTCTGTGATTTTTTTTTTCTGCCAGGGTTTGTTTTCAATTTACCAGTATGAAAGTGTCACCAGACCGCCTGAACAGGCACATATATTTGTAGTGTTTAAAACAGATTTTCAATCTGGTGAGCATCCAAATTGCCAAGAAAGACTTAGAATACCTGCAGGTAAAGTTTTTTGTTTGTTTGTTTATTTTTAATTTCTGTGGCAGATTCCTCGTTTTTTTCCGGTACTGGGGATTGAACTCAGGACCTTGTGCTTGCAAGGCAGGTGTGGTACCACTGAGCTAAATCTCCAGCCTGATTCCTTTTCTAAATTATTTATTTAATAGTAGTACTGGGGATTGAGCCCAGGGCCTTTGTACTGAGCCACACCCCCCAGCCCTTTTCATTTTTATTTTGAGATATGGTCTCCCTAAATTGCTAAATTGCCTAAGCCTGACTCAAACTCACAATCCTCCTGCCTCAGCCTCCTAGAGTGCTGAGATTACAGGCATGAGCCACCACACCTAGCACTGGTGACTGTAAACCACAGCCAGAGCCAAGAACAACTGGCCATCTTTCTTGAACTCTTCTAGTGCAATTTCCCTCTGTTTTTTTTTTTTTCTTCCTCCTGAATATTTTCATCTTTTTTTTTTTTTTTTTTTTTTTTTTTTTTTTTTTTTTTTTTTTTTTTTTTTTTTTTTTTTTTTTTTTTTGGTACCAGGGATTGAACTCCGGACGGTGTGCTTGTGAGGCAAGAGGCAGAACCACTGAGCTAAATCCCCGGCCCCTGAATATTTTAATAGAATGACTACTGGAAAAGTTCAGCATCTAGAGTCTATCTTCTGTGCAATACTAATTTTATTTATTTTAAATTTAATTATTTTTTGAGAACTGCAGTGTCTTTCTATGTAGTTGAGGCAGGCCTTAAACTCACTATGTAGACTGAGGAGTTCTAACTCATGATAATCCTCCTGCCTCAGCCTCCTAAGCGCTGGGATTACAGTTATGCACCCCTATGCCCAGTTTAAATTGATTTTTAGCTGATACATAAAACATAAGCATTGTACACATTTATGGGTATCATATGATATTTCAAGATTCTATCTCAGGTTAAACATGTCAGTCTCAAGCATATATCATTCTTTTTATGGTAAAAACAGTCACCTCTTGTATCTCTGTGAAATACGGAGTTCATTATCATTATTTACAGTCACCCTACTATACAACAGCACACCAGAACTTCTTACTCCCAACTACAACTTAGTACCCATTGAACAACTTCTCTCCACTTCAACTTCACTGATTGATAATGTTATCAATTATGTTAATTAATTTTAATTTTCAGCAGTCCCTGTATATTAACTAATGTGGGCTCATTTTAGTATCTACTTAAGAAAAATAAAGAAGATAATAATTCTAATATCCACACAAAATATTTTTCCAAAACCAAAATTATTTATCTGTGCTTAAAAAAGAATCTTCCCCACAGCTGCTTCCCTCCCCTCATACAACCAAAGCTGAGAAAATACTCAAAAGAACCATACTTTTTGCTAAAGCTCTGTTTGAGAAAAACTTGGGTATATTCAGGATGAGGAAACTCTGCAAGCTGCACCTACAATCCCAGCACTCTGGAAGGCTGAGGCAGGAAGAATGCAAGTTTGAGCCCAGCCTAGGCAACTTCAGTGTGAAGGCCCTGGGTTCAATAAACCAGCACCCCCAACAAAAAAAGTTTTTTCTTTTTTTCATAAATCCACCAATCTTTTATGAGTGGGGCTAGGGATATTAGGCAAGAAAGCACAAGATAGGGCTGGGGATTTAGCCCAGTGGTGCCGCCACCTGCCTTGAAAGCACAAGGTCCCAAGTTTGATCACTGGTACCCCAAGAAAAACAGTTTTTCTTATCTTTTTGGAAATGCAAATGAACAAATGAAAATATCAGGGATTGGGGATTTTAGCTCAGTGGTTCTGCTGCCTGCCTCACAAGTGCAAGGTTCCGAGTTCAATCCCCATTTATCCACCCCACCCCCAAAAAATCAAGTGCCGCGTTGCCACAGGATACAAGTATCATACCCTCAGATACATCCAAAGAGCGTATTTTGTACTTATTCCCTTATCAACAGGCAGAGAGTTAAATTCCTGCCTCCTAATTTCGAGAAGCCCTCTGTCAAAAAAAGCACAGTCCTGACTGAGGGGGAATCTAATCCTTTCATTCCCTGAACAGATTCTTCCTAGGAATGTAACACTGAGCAAACTGGACAGGCCTCACCAGGCAGTGGCCTTGAAGTGGACTGTCCTTTTCTATGCATCTGCTCCAGTGTTTGTCACTCTGAAAAGTTACCACCCACTTCTGTGGACAGGGTTTCTGTCTTTTCATATATTCTGTACCCTTCACTGGGAACTCAAGAAAACCTACCATTATATTCCAATGGAGGCAATAAATGTCTTTAAATTACTAGACTAGAAAATGAAATTTGAAAACTAGAGGTCTAATTTTTCCAGGCTGGACTTCATTTCAGCAAGGCAAAAAAATCCCTACCCATAGCCCTTAACATTGTTCAGGAGTAACTTCCAGAACACAAAGAGGCACATAAATTTGAGCCACTAATTTCCTGAGTTAGTATTCCCAAGTCCAGACAAGGGAACTCTTTTTTTGGTACAGAGGATCGAACTCGGGTCCTTGTGCTTGTGAAGCAGGTGGCAGAATCACTGAGCTAAATCCCCAGCCAAGACAAGGGAACTCTTAAACTAACCTTAAAAATAAAACAAGCCAGACATGGTGATGCATATCTGGAATCCCAGCACTCAGGAGGCTGAGGCAGGAGGATCACCTTAAGTTTGAAGTCAGCTTGGGTACACAGTGAGTTCAAGGGCAGCCTAAACTACATAGTGAAACCATGTCTCAACCAAAATAAAATAAAAATATAATAAATAACACACACCAAAGAGAACTTCCTTTGAATCTAGCTGGTTCTTGGTTCCCTGGTTTCTGACATTTAGAAGTCATTTCTGCATCCTACACCTTTATGTAGTTCCTACCTTGCTAAGTACTTGGCTTCGATCTGCGATGTCTATATATATGGCTTCCACATGTTTCCATGTCTCAGGCTCCAGCTTATGCACCTGCAGGAAGAAAGGGATTATCTTGAGGCTGAATGTGTAAGGTGTATATGAAGTATTGCTTAATGCTGTCGTTTATACTTGGGACCCAGCCCCAAGGCATGTCATTATATATAAGCAAATATTCCAAAATCCAAAATGGGAAACACTTCTGATCTCAAAGGATAAGAGATAATCTGTATAAAATTATACAGTGGGATGAGAGATTGGATTTTAAATAGACAACTACTGTACATTGTTTCCATGTGTCCCTTGGTAAAGACTAAACACTTCTGGAGATGTTGCCTGCTTAACCACATAATGCTTATTTTTATCAGACTGTACACATCCACATAAAACTATGACACAAATTCAAAATGAAATGATACAAGGAAGAATAACTCTTCCTCCTGCTTGACCCCCCCAGCCCCATTCCCGTGATGGACAATGCCACTAAAATCTAACCATGTGCATAGATTTCCCTTTTAAGTGGGCCAGGGATTTAGCTCAGTGGTTCCGCCACCTGCCCTACATGCACAAGGTCCCAAGTTTAAAAAAAAAAAAAAAAAAAAAAAAAAAAAAAAAAATCAGATTTTTCTTTTGAATACAACACTAGTACATATATATACTATTTTATACCTTGTGTTTTTAATGGACAATACATTTGGGAAGGAGTACTAGGGATTAAACCCATGGTCTTTGCACTGATCTACATTCTCAGCCCTTTTTAATCTTTTCTTTCTGGTTCTAGGGATTGAACTCAGGACCTTGCGCTTGTGAGGCAAGCAGCGGAACCACTGAGCTAAATCCCTTGCCCTTTAACTTTTTATTTTGAAACTGGTCTAACTAACCTACAGGGGACTTGATCTAGTGATCCTCTTGCCTCAGCTCCAAGTGCTGGGATTACAGGTGTGCCACACCATGCCCAGCAAACAATACATCTTTGGAACTGTTCCTGCTGGCTCTTTTTAATGACTGCATGGTATACCACTATTTGATGCATAATTTATTTACTGGTGTCCTACAGATAAGCTCTTGTGTTGTTTTTAATCTCCTTGTATATATTATTTCATGTTGTGAGAAAGATGTAGGCACGGAATTACTGAGGGAGAAAAAGGTACAGTTCAAATTTTGGGAATGACTGTAAATTGTGCTCTACAGAGGGTTTAAATTTGCCGTTAAAAAAAAGGGAGGGGCCAGGGACTTAGCTCAGTGGTGCTGCCATCTGCCTCACAAGCATAAGGTTCTGAGTTCAATCCCCGGTACCAAGAAAAAAACAAAACAAAACTCCTCTGTCAGGAACTGCATGTTAGAACCACCTAAGCACTATAGGAAGGGCTGGCAAAGAATGGTGGACACTGGGCTGGGGATTTAGCTTAGTGGTTCCACCACCTGCCTTGCAAACACAAGGTCCCAAGTTCAATCCCCAGTACCAAAAAAAAAAAGAATGTTGAAAATCATATTTGCAAATCAAAGAAGGGCAATCTCATCCTGGTAGAGGACTAAGGAGAGGCCACTGCCATCCTAGCCAAGCACAAGAGGACCACAGAAAGGAGGACCCCTTGGCAGGAGTGGAAAGGTTACAGGCAGAGCCTCAAGATCCTGCTCTGGGGCCTGGAAACCCCATTGGGGCTATTAGTATGTACTACTTACATTCTCCTGTGTGCCAAGATCTGGTTTGTGCCAGGTTTCAATTTTAATCAGGAAGTCTTCTTTCATGTACTCATTCTGGAAGAGGGAAGAAAATACCATACAGTCACAGCAGGCTCACAGCTGGAAATTAGCCATCTCCCATTACTAGATCATGGGTAGTCAGGAGCCTCCAGGCCCTGCCTGGTAATAACAGCTACGCCGAGAGTCCACAATACACCAGGCATGCATTAGCCCAGGTGAACTCTCACATCCACCTAGGAGGCTACAGGCTCACCCTCATTTGACAGATGGTGGCCAGGGATTTGGCCTAGTGGTTCTGCCACCTGCTTTGCAAGCACAAGGTCTCAAGTTCAATCCCCAGGACCAAAAAAAAAAAGAATTCATTTTACAGACAAGGAGAGTGAAGTTCAGAAAGGTCAGCTGATTTGTCCAAGGCCACAGAGATCATCAAAGAGCTAAGCCTAAAAACAAGTTTGTGTGACTTAAGAATCTATGTGTTCAATCAGTCTTCCATATGACATTATACTAAGGTGCTAACGGTTAACTACATGTGTGGAAAGAGCACAGAGGACAATCTAATCAACAAAAAGCATTCACCATAGTCCTTTTCTCCCAACTAGCTGTTTGCAGGGCCAGTCCTTCAGGTCTCCTTCCCTAAGTGCTTTTAAAAAACTGGAAGTGAAAAAGGGGGAAAAAAAAGGAACTATTCAAAGGAAGAAATCAACCTATTACCTGCTCAACAGGGATTAGTTTGCTGGAAAGGACTTGGATAAGCATACTCAAGGGTGGAGAGGAAGGGCAATGACAAAGGGGATGGTCACAGAAGAGGAATTTTGTTGACTTCACAATTTTGCTAAGGGGCAGCGCTCACTGGGGTCAACAGATGCCCCAACTGGAAAGAGATGTCACAGTCAGGTCAGCTGAACTAAAATTTCTGTAACCCTGAGTAGGGATGACTTGAGAGGAGCAGTAGGTTTCTGGTTATGCTGTACATACAGGACCCAGAGCCAGGATGCACCTTACAGTCAGTCACAAGCCAACTGTAGCCTGAAGCAGGAAACTACCAGGCCAATTAGGAAGTTCTTCATAGGAATGAAAAGACTGACCTTTGACAACTCCAAACATCACACAAGGGAAAGAAGAGAATAGCCAGGACTTTCATTAGTACAGATACATTTTTAGTTTTATTTCTCCTTTTCTTATACATTACCTACAATTCCAACCTCCCTCCTCCATGATACTTACTGTAATAACTGGTCCAAGGCAAGGACATGGAAAGAAGAGAGAAAAAGATTAATACAAATTCTTCATTATCTGTCCCCCATCCCCAGAGACCATAAATAGCAGAGTTCTCCACTCTCTGTGGCTTATTCCTGAGTCACTTCCAGGCCCCAATGCACCAATACTGCTCAAGTTCACTATACAAAAGTCCCAAAAGACCAAATCTGGAATTTAAAGCAATGCTACTATGAGCTTCCTGGGTGGGATTCTTTCCAGCAGGACAGGTGCGGGATCACCTTCAATTTGCTGAGACCGTGTCACCCATACCACTGCGAGGACATCAGCTGTGTGCCCCTTGTCTCTACCTTTGCCTCTGCCTCCTGCACGGAGAGCAGGGCTCTCCAAGGCAGGTGCGGTCTGTCCACCCCCGGCACCCTTCCTCTCACTGTAACCAAACCTCTCGTGCTCTGCACTCCTGCTCATTGTAATGAAACCCCTTCAGAAAGCACAGTTCAATTATTTATCAGAGAAAATGACTGCAGCTCTCGTGTCACTGAGGAACAGACTTAGTTCTCCTCCTGACAATGGCCTGGTTCACTCTGTACCCTCTGAATTCAGGAGTGATCACAATTTCTGATGAATGCCATGTTTGGAGAATATACAAGGCCAACAAACTTTATTATTTCAACAATGAAACTAAGTCTCCCTCAGAAGTGGAAGTGAGAAAAGCTGAAATATAAGGGCTATGAGTAACCCAAAATACTATCAGGGATCTCCTCAAATCCAATGAAAGATACTTGGAAGAAAGCAGCGGATTACGATAACTAAAAGGCCTATACTGAAATAATCACCCCATTAGCAGTTTGAGAAAATCACACTAGAAAAAAGGAAACGATGGGTATAACATCCATCAGAGGGAAATCCAAAGAGGCCAACGTGGCACAAATTCTGCAGTGCTTGTGTGGGAACTGAGCTCTATCACTAGCAGAGACAGCAATGTCAGACTGACTGGCTAGAGGACACTAGTCATTAAATTTCTCCTACTAACCACCTTTCTCTGAACCATGTTCTCTAAAAAACCCTCTTTCTAGCTTTGCCTCTGTATGGACAGATACACTAATCCACAAACACAAGACTCTGATCACTTAACCAAGTGGATATCACGTTGGTATTCTAATTATAATTTGATTTCCCACATACGAGAATCCAAAAGGAAACAATGCCTGATCACCAAACAGGAATATCTGGTTTCACTATTAATTTTGTATTTCAATATAATTTTTTGGAACTTGGCATTTGAATTTTTTTAGACATTAGTGTTTGTGAGACACTGAAAAAGATCCACTTTGTTCTTGACAAATTTGGTTTTGGAGCCCATGAGGGTGACAACCTTCCATGGCCTTTAATGTCCTGAACCTTCTCTAGTCCCTTTCGCTCCAAACATGTCTCAATTTATAGCATCTCCTTTTCTTTGAGGCCATACTCTTTTTTTTTTTTTGATACTGAGATCGAACTCGGATCCTTCAGCTTGCGAGGCAGGCAGTGGAACCACTGAGCTAAATCCCCGGCCCTCATCTCCTTTTCTTTGAACCACAACCTCAGGTACACAAGAAAAGTCTCTGGGGCCGGAGATTTAGCTCAGCAGTATTTTCCCCTGCCTCACAAGTGCAAGGACCCCAGTTCAATCCCCAGTACGAAAAAAAAAAAGAAAAAAAAAGCCTCCAGAAACCCTTTGCAGTCAGAGAATAAGGCTTTCCAAGTAAGACTAAGAAGGGTTTGTGTGTTTGTTTTGTTTTTTCAGACAGGATCTCACTATGTAGTTCAGCCTGGCCTTGTAGCACTGGCTGCCATTGAACTCATAGTGATCCTCTTGCCTCAACCTCCTGCATACTGGGATTACAGAAATATGCTACCAACCCCAACCCTGGCAATTTTAGAAGTATGATTTAGTGATACTGTATCCAGCCCAAGGGTTAAGGTTTGAGGAAGGGATAGAAAAAGAAATATATTTTCATCCTCTTCCCATTTCATCCACAGACCATCCCCATTATAATAATCCCTCTTTCATGGCCCAATCCTTTAGTTTCAGAGGAAAAGAGAGAAACAAAATAAGGGAAGAGAAAAATCTAAGGATGAGTAGGGTTTCCCCAATCTATTTTCTTTTTTTTAATTTTTTGGTACCAGGGATCGATCCAATCTATTTTAAATCCCCTCAGAATAAGATTAAAGCCATCACAAAGGCTTGAATGATTCTACTCCACGCTCCTTTATCTATCTCACTTCAAGATTTGATCTGCTTAGATCAAGCTAACTGTGTGTGTATATGTGTGTGTGTGTGTGTGAGAGAGAGAGAGAGAGAGAGAGCACGTGCGCGCGTTGTGTCTGAGTCTACGTACTCCAGGCCAGCCTTGCACTCACCATCTCCTGAAGCCTCCCAAGTGCTGGGATTACGGCACGCATCACCACACTTGACTTATAAAATGCTTGAATTATAATTTCTCCCATTGGCTCTCAGGGTAGCCTTCCTTGCCTGTTTCTCTTGTTTTAAAAACACAGGTGTCTAACTGCACAGACCTAAGATTCAGCACACTCATGGTGTAGAAAGGTGAAGAGGCAGACTTGTGTGCAGTCAGCACTCAGTGAAGAACCAACCTTCCCCTCCCCACTCACTGTCCTCTTTGAGGAGTATTTAGAAATTATATTTCCCTTTTTCTTTTGGTCAAGAATCTATGTGGAAAAATAAAAAGAATCTATGTGAACTAACATTTGTTATGTAGAAAAGTTCCTTGTCAGCTGCACCACATTCTTCTAAAATTACACAGGGGACACTGGCATCTCTCAGTTGGCACAAGCTCTGAACCCAGAACCCTGCCCCAGGCATGGAGAAGTCCATGCTATCTGTTTGCCTCCTTCATGCCAAGTTGGCCAAGGTTCTCAATGCAACTCTCTTACATACCTTTGGCCCCTGAGCAAATGTACCCTATGCCACACTACTCACTGCTTCTGATTTTTTTTTAGTGCTGGGGATCAAACTTAGTATATGTGCTGCTGAAGCAAGCACCTGGGGATCAAACTTAGGACCTTGTGCTTGCCAGGCAGGTGCCATGCCACTAAGCTAAACCTCCAGCCTTTTTTCTTAAAACAGAGCCTCCTTATAAAGTCCAGGCAAATCTCAAACTCATTATGTAACAGGCTGGCTTCAAATTCTCAATCCTGCTGCCTCGGCTTCCTGATTGCAGGAATTACACACACACACCACCACGCTCAGCATTGCATACTGCCCGTTAAGAACATGAGTGCAGGCTGGGGATTTAGTTCAGTGGCACACGCCTGCCTCACAAGTGCAAGGTCCTGAGTTCACTCCCTTGGGAGGGGGAGGCGTGAGGGCATTCCTCACTTCCAAGAATGTAACAACTTCCTGCTCCGTGTTTAAAAAGTAATGAAGTTTGCATTTCCAGCCACAGCAATGAGACATAAGCATCAGACTATCTCAGGTCCCACCAACAACTGCATCTTCTGATACAAGGTCACTAAACCTTGGAGGGCCATGGAGGGCCATGGAGGACTGGCAAGAGCAGTGACTTTAGTCACTCCCAAAGTCCACAGGAGAAGGACTGCCTGAGTCACATAAGGATGACAGCCTTATCAGATACAATTGAGGAAATACCAGGTCCCAGCAAATAAAGCAAGCATGCAGCACAAGGAAGCAGAGGCTGGCGGGCAGACCTCGGAGCCAGATTGTCTGTACTAACAAATAAAGGCTGCTGGGAGGAAAGGTCACTCACCTCACAGACAAGTTCCAGGGGAACCTCTAGGGGCTCCCCCTGGGACATGAATCAGTGACAGCTTGAGCCTAAGAGGTCTACTCCTAGATGTTCCATAAACCTAGGAATCCTGAAAAGCTGGGTCTGAACTACTCAAAAGGAATATCAGACTGGCTAGACTAGAAGATACAGTTCTCTGTGAAAATTAAAATCTTTCCTTTCCTTTTCAGAAACTCCAGACAGGAGACAGGACAAGATAGGGGTAGGGATTTTGCTCAGTGGTGCCTGCCTCACAAGTACAAGGTCCTGAGTTTGATCCCCTGTACTGGTGGAAAACAAACAAGTTCAGATAATAATTCCACCCTTACTTCAACCATACAGCATGTTGGTTCAGCACAAGCCATCAATTCAGATCCCTTACCAGGGACAACCCCTCACACTACAGGTGAAGAATCTGCCATGCACACTCCACGTGTACATAATGTTCTTTGATGATCACTGTTTCTAAATCTGCTATCATGAACAATTGGGATCATTTCAGCTTTATCCCAGCAACATCAGGGTTCCCTGTACTGTCTAGACCTGGTTCTTCTTTAGAGGAGGGAGAGGCTATTCTCCAGGCCCTTTCCTATGACTGCCTCTTCTTAAGTCAAGTGTAGATACATCACAGTAAAACTGAAAATTTCAGTATTTGCCAATAAGAGAATGGTTCAAAAACAATGTGATGTCTTATGGTACATACCTATAATCCTAGCTACTCAGGAAGCTGAGGCAGGGAGATAGATTGAGCTCGGGATTTGAGACCAACCTGAGCAACTTAGTAAGACTCTGTCTCAAAATAACATCTAAAAAAGGGCTGAGACCAGGGATTTAGCTCAGTGGGACCACACCTGCCTCTCAAGTGCAAGGTCAACTTTGATCCCCAGTACCAAAAAAAAAAAAAAAAAAAAAAAAAAAAAAAAAAAAAAAACTAAGGATGTAGCTCAACCCTGGAGTGCTTGTCTATAGCATAAGCATAGCATAGGTAAGGCCCTGGATTCATCCCTAGTACTAGGGAAAAAAAAAAAAAGACAGCCAAGGGCCAATAATTTAGCTCAGTAGTTCTGCCGCCTGCCTCACAAGTCCAAGTTCCCAAGTTTGATCCCCAGTACCAAAAAAAAAAAAAAAAAAAAGACAGCCAGGTATAGTGGTGCACACCTTGTTCTAAGCAGGACACAGGGGATAGATAACACGTTCTACCCAAGCCTGGGCAATTTAGCAACTTAGCAAGACCCTGTCTTTATTTTTACTTTTATTTTTAAAGTAAAAAGGAGCTGGGGATGTAGCTCAACACAAAGACCCTATAAAAAATTACATTATATTCCATAGTACCCACTGATGATTGATTCCAGGACCACCCCCACCCCACCCTCAGGAAACCAAAACCCATGCTAAGTCTCCTGTATCAAAAGGCACAATATCTGCCATATAACTCACATCCTCCCATAAATCTTCACTTATCTCTAAATAAACTATAATACCTAATGCAATGCAATGTTATATAAATAGTTATGCTATATTACTCAGAGTTATTCTGGAGATTAAACCCACAGTCTCACACATACTAGGCAAGGTCTCTTTCTACTACTAAGCTAAACCCTAGCCTAGATTTATTTTTCTCACATATTTCTGGCCACCACCCACCTTTTTTTTTTTTTTTTTTTTTTTAACTTTGTCCTAAAGACAATTTAGGGCCTTGTACTTGCTAGGCAAGTGCTGCTGCACTGAATTAAATCCTCGACTCCCAAATATTTTGATCAGAACCCATGGGTTTGGTTGGCTGACTACACATTCACATGATGGAGCACTATGCAGCATGGTGCTGTGGGTTGAATCCAGGAAACTCTACCAGAGATGCATCCCCAGTGCTTTTTACCTTTGAGAGAAGGTCTTGCTAAATTGCCCAAGCTGGCTTTGAACTTAAAATCTTCCTACTTCAGCCTCTACGGCAGTTGGGATTACAGGCATGTACCACTGCTCCCAGTTCTACACTCCACAGTGATGGTAAATGTTCACTGTTTACTGAAGAAAAGCAGGAAACAGAAAAACGAGTCATCATATGATCTAAAATTTATGTAGAAAAATGTATCCGATTTTTTCTCTCCATTTATTTGTCTGTCTGTCTGCCTGCCACATGGTACATGCCTGCAATCCCATCTACTTGGGAGGCTAAATATGAGGAGGATTTAAAGTTCAAGGCCAGGCTGGGCAATTTAGTGAGACCCTATCTCAAAATTTTCAAAAGGACTGGGGATGCAGCTGTTCTTCTGTTTCTATGTATTTTCCAAAATATATATTGACAACATTATTTTGCAAGCAATAAAAACAATCAAAATTATCACTGCCTTGCAAACACAAGCACCCGAGTTTGATCCCCGGTACAAAAAAAAAAAAAAAAAAAAAAAAAAAATTATCATACCATTCCCAAACAGGTGTAGTTTTGTGCTTTCAAGCTGTGACCACTTGGCAGTTCTTACCTGGTTGACCACTGAGTTGTGCAAAACAACACTGATTTACCCCAGGATAGGAGGAGACGCCAACCTCATCTTTTCATTTGTCTAATCTGGAATATAAAGGTGGGACACAAAGCCCTGGTAACACCTTTACCCTGGGCCTACTTGACCACACCCTTGGGTCCACCATGGGGCCCAAACTCCAGCTTCTAGCCAGGTCTGCACTCACCGGTTCTGCAGTAAGGGTAGGCATTCCATGCTTTCTCGTGAATATTCAGGGCTCCCTCGGGGGCCAGCATTCGAACGAATGTAGGTACTTTGCTATATGAAAAAAGGAATGAAGAGGAGAAATGGAGGAGAGAAAAGAGAAAATAGGCTTTAACATCATGTTCTTTAGGACACAGACCCAGCTTCTTCAAAGGGGAATTGACAACCAAGTTTCCAAGAGATAAGCGGGTTACACTTGTATGTGAGAAGTGTGAGCCTCACAACCCAGCTTGCCTGGCTACAAACATGAAACAAAACTTGCCCCACCACCCACCAGGACCAAGGTAGCACAGAAGGCCCTAAGCTCCTGACTGGCCCACTGGTCATGCCACTCTCATTACACATTCTTTTCAAAGCTCAGTGGGCCTGGGGCAGGTACTACATTGAACAAGGATACTGTGCAAAAACAGTACTTGTAAGTGTGCAGCCAGAGTTGGACTGTACTCCCAGGTTTACGGGCCAGGGTGACTAGCTGACTAACTCAGAATGTGGGATTCAAGAGGATCTGGTTTATTTCCTTAAGTTCTAAAAGGACTTATTCTAAAAGGCCCTCCTGGGCCTTAGGGTCGGTCACCTGCTTCCCAGGAAAAATACTTTCTTCTACTCAGTTTTCAAATCAGATTGTAGAAAAATAAGTGTAGTATGGGGCCAAATTTTTTGAGGGAGAAGGAGCACATTTCTAGGGATTGAACCTAGGGCCTTTATACTGAGCTGTGTCCCCAGCCACGTTTTAATTTTTTTATTTTGAGACAGGGTCTTGCTAAGTCCCTAAATTATCCAGGCTGGGCTGGAACTTGTTATCTTCCTGCTCTGCCTCCCAGAGTGCTGGGATCAGAAGCATGTGTCACCGGCCTTAAGTTCATTATGTAGCCCAGGCTAGCCTTAAACTTGTGGCGATCCACCTGCCTCAGCCTCCTCTTTCGTGGTTTTTAACTGTTAAATTATATAATCTTTAGCAGGCTCTAGCAACTTCATCATCCTAGTACTTCAGGCCTAAAAGAACTAACCCCAATACAGACCTAACTCTGGTCCCTCAAAGCAAGCATGAGATTCACTCACACACTCAGGTGATACTTCTATGTGTCACATGCTGGGATACAAAGAGAAACCAAACAGTGCGGGGAGAATAACTAACCAGGAAAATGACACTAAAAGTATGTGGGTGAGCAGAGACCTCTTGGGGTCTAACCACAACACAAAAACATGCCCAAGGGCCAGAGATGTAACTCAGTGGTTCTGCTGCCTGCCTCACAAGCACAAGGGCCAGAGTTTGATTCCTGGAAAAAAAAAAAAAAAAAAAAAAAAAAAATTGCCTGGACAGGTTACAGGCAGAATTCTCTGGAAAGTCAGGATGACATAAAGACACAAAATAGGGACTATATAGGATTAAGCTAGAAGGAAGGATGGGAATGGGGCCAGAAAAGCTAGGAGAGAGAGAAGTTCAGAGGAGGTACAAGGTGGGTATGCAAGAGAACACGCAGGGGCCGGAGATCTTATAAATTATGTCAGAAAGTACAGACTTCATCCCTGGCCCAAAGGGAAGCCATCTATCACTTTCAAGCTGGTGAGCAACAGATCATCTAGTCAGGACACTCAGAGCTGTGTAGAGAGCTGCAAAGGAAGGAGACCGGTTGAGAGCTCAGTAGTAATCCAGTTTAGAGACAATGGAAAGAAATGGACATTTTAGGGATAAGAATATGAGTCAACAGAACCTGATTTGCTAGGAAGGCTTTTATCCTCTTGAGGAAAGGGAGTAGTGGCAGTCAGTTTTTGTTTTGTTTTGTTTTGTTTTTTGCAGTGGCTATTTTGATATTAAGGAAAGAATGGTAGCAGCAGCTCTTGATAGGAAGCAGGTAAGACAGGTTTTGACCTCCCTATGTACAGATCTCCTCTCTGCTACTAATTGGCCCATCTCTTTTCAAAGTCATCTTTAACATGTTCACAGAAGGCTATAATTTGTATGTCTCACTGCTAGGCAGTTTGAACCACCAGTGGTACATATATGACTGTCCCATCAGGAGTTTTTTATTAATTTTATTAGTAAAAGGACTGATAAATGTGATTAGATCTGTTCATCCCACTGCTGTTACAAGCCGCCCAATGGGACAGTCACACATGTACCACCAGAGGTTCAAGTTGGCAGGAACATATTAAAAAAAAAAAAAAAAGGCTATGGGAGGGCAGGAATGTAGCTCAGCAGTACTATGCCTACCTGGCAAGTGTAAGGTCCTGAGTTCAATTTCCAATACCAAAGGGGGAAAAAAAGGCTGTGGGGAAGTCATTATCTAGAACTGATCTTAACTTACTGTTAATTCTTTGGTTAGCAGTCAATTCAGAGTAAGGATGGAGGAGAAGCAAGAAGAAATATAAAGAATGAAGAGGACAGTGATGAGGTAATGGGATCACTGTGAGATTCTTCCACTTCACAGAATTGCTCTCTTTCTGTTTCTGCCCTGCAAAATCCTGAACCCTTCTGGGTTAGCACCTTCCATTACCAGAGTGGGAGACTACAGCAAATCAGGGATTTTATCAAATGAAAATGAAATTGGTAGCCAGGTACAGTGATACATGCTTGAAATCTCAGCTACCTGGGAGGCTAAGGCAGGAAAATTATAAGTTCAGGCCCAGCCTGGGCAATGCAAGAACTCAGCGAGATCCTGTGTCAAAATAAAAAACAAAGAGGGATGAGGATATAGGTCAGTGTCAAGCTCCTAGGTTTGATTCCCGGTAAAAAAACAAACAAAACCTCACAAGACTGACACCAAAGACATCTTACTGGAGTATGTAGGCATCTGAAAATGACTACAAATACACATCAAGAGAGGACTGGTTAAACAGCACACCTGCCTAACATGATACATGTAAATACTATGTGTGCTTTAAAGGAATGAGGTGGGATATTCTGAGAGTGAAAGGCAGCTATGACCTGATACACAGAAAATGGGCAAAAACACTAAACATACGATAATAGGATCCTATCTATGTCAAATAATAATAAAAAAACACCTATTCACACACATACAAATTACTTCTATACTCACAAACTATGGAAAGGGCCCCCACGAAACCATAAACTGTCACATCTGGTGACTGGGAGCCCAGTGGATCAGGTATTATTTTTACTTTATTTTTTTAAATAATGAGAATATTTATTTGTTTGTTTGTTTTGAGACAGGGTCTCACTATGTAGTTGAAACTGACCTGGAACTCACTATGTAGCCCAGGCTGGTCTCGAACTCACAGCGATCCTCCTGCCTCAGCCTTGTGAGTGCTGGGATTACAGGCGTGCACCACAACGCCCGGCGAGAGTATTTATTTAAATAAATAAACAAACAAACACAATCTGCCCTTGCTCACAAATGAACAACTTGAGCATCCAGCTAATAACCTGGAGACACCCACCACCACTTCCAACCCACCCTGCAGCCTGGGTCACATACCTCTGTAAGTGGTAGATCTTGTGTGTGTACTGGCCCTTCTCTCCATCCTTCTCATAGGGCTCGTTCACCAGGACCTCCACACCTTCACCACCACCCGTTTCATTTTTACTGGCCTCAGCCACAGAATACAGCTGCCCTACTTGATACTAAAGGAACAGAGTAACACACATTATTCTCCACAGTCACACAGTACAGCTGCTGGTAGCTGTCCAACTAGATCTTGGGGTCTCCTAGGAATTCATCCTAGAGTTTCACAACAGGTCTTGCCCAAATCTACCCAAAGCAACCAAAAATGCTGCCTGCCCCACGACCTTGTTTTAGCCATCAACTGTGTTTAAATTCAACTTTCCAGTTTTACTTCATCCATCAGAGTTTAAAGAGGCAGGCAAATGTCTTTAATCTTCACAAAGTGGCTTTTGCCCTGGAATTGTCTCTGGTACTGTTTTGGTTTTTTTTTGTACTGGGGATCAAACTTGAGTCCTTGTGCTTGCAAGGCAGGCAGCGGCACCAATGAGCTAAATCCCCAGCCCTCTGGTACTGTATTAAGACCCCACAAACAGGAAGTGAGTTGGTAGATATTATCTCTTTATCCCATTTATTCATTTGAACAGATCCTAAGACATAACTGCTTGTTAAATACAAGTTGTCCAGTGCTCTATAAAATTCACAAAATCTATTGTAAAGCAGGTTCACCTACTTGCTTTTTATCCAGGGTTGGGCCCCTCCTCACCCTGCAAGGAGCTTAAGAAAAGAGTTTTTCAGGCAATCAAACCTCCTGAGGCTTCCCAAGTTCCCAGTGAGACTGAAGCAAGTGCTTCCTATATTAGATAGTACAGATTCCTTCCCTGGTCTGCTGGCTGGGTGCCCCTTCTGTGTTGGCAGTTACTAGATAGCAAAAGCCTACTTTTCCTTTATTTGGGTCACATGTCACCCTAACAAGCACCAGTCAAGATCTCTGGCCTCCTCTGACTCCCTCAGGCAATGCCCAGGCCTGGCCCTTCTGCCCCCTTCTCTGTGAGGAAAGCCGTCTGCAGGAAAAAACACAGTAGAGAGAGAATGCATAGTGGCAGTTAATGGAGCAAGTTACATCTACACTGAAGGTCACCTTTTCCTCATCACTCCTAGTACCAAACAGGCACAACTGTTTAGGTAGCTTGCAAAGAACAAAAACAAGCACAGTACTCGATTACCCAATATGTTGGGGAAGGAGATTAAGGTTCTCTACTCTCCTTCCCCAAACTCCTGAGTACTCCTTAGGGAGAAGGATCAAGGTTCTCTCTTTGACATTAAAACAGGGAAGCTGCATCGCTGGGTTTTTGCCATTGAACCACTGCCAGCATCAGCGAAACAACAACACAGCTTCCAGGGCTATTTCCCCTCATACTTGGAAGTTGGCTCTATGGCAGCTTCCTAAGCATTGCAGAGAAATTTCTGGGCAAAGTCTGGAAAGGGAAGCATAGATCAGGACAATTCGCTACTCGCTGCAAAGCTCAAAGAGCCCTAATTTCCAAAGCAAAAGCCCACTACAAAATGCCAAGGAAAGACCCAGGCAAGTGATCAAGGCTGTTAATCCCATAAAGAAGAACATCTGGGTGAGAGCCAGTTATCTTGACCTTGCTAATTCTAAGCAACATCAGTGCTGCCTCAATTCTGGCACAGTACCCCAAACTATCCCTGTGCCTTTCCAGTTCCACCACCTAGCTAAGGAACACTGAAACCCCTATTGAGTGAGTCAGTGTTTGGCTAAGCCAGGGGTTCCTAAGCAGCAGCAGGAACTCTTGTTTCAGAGAACAGTCACAAGGGCATCTAACCACTGACTCAGCTATCCTAAAGGGCAGGCTGGGAAGAGGGTCTGCTTGAGGGGAGGGAGTTGCCAGATCATTGTGCTACTTGGGAGGGGGCCCCTGGGTACAGACTAATTGTCTTTACTGGGTCTCTTCTCAGCTGCAAGAATCAGAGGGCAGGCTCTAAGAGGATCAGTCTGTTGGCTGGCATCCTACCCCTTTAATCTCTCTTGATATTCTAATCCTTTAATCCCAATGAGACAAGTGAAGGCAGATTTGTTAATCCAAACGAGTAAGACTGGCCCGCACAAGTTACAAATGAGGAACACTTTCCATGTCAGAGAGTACCCTCTGGCACAGATGTTCTACATCTTGGGAAAGCTGCCAGACTCGGGCTGGGTAGCAATGCAGGTGGGGGTCAGACCATTAAATCGGATAAGGAACCCCAAGGAGACCAGGATTCTAGTCATTGCAGGCAAAGGACAATGCTCCCTACTCTTGAGATTTGTTCTCTTGTCCCAAAGAAGTAAGACACTCAGCTAAGAAAAACAGAAACATGGCAGACATGGTGGCATGTGCTTACAGGCCCAGTTACTTGGGAGACTTGAGGCAGAATTGCCTGAACCCAGGAGGAGTTTAAGGGCAGTCTAGGCAACAGAGTGAAATCTATCCCAGAGGGGAATGAACGAACAAGACAAGAAAAACAGAGATCACATCAGTTTTCACAATCTGGGAGTGGGAGCCCAGGAAAACACATGTAAACTGGCCTGCCCACAGTGGACAGTGGGCTGGCCTGAGCCAGGAAAAACAGGTAGACACACCCATCAGCCACCCAGAGTGTTCTTGCTGTGCTGCAGATGCCCAGAAACCGGGCAAAGTTGGGCCAAAGACTAGCTAGCCGGAAGCTAATTCTTCCCCCAAATATCAATTCAGGCCATTAAGATGATCATAGAGACATGACCTTCTCTATTCTTTTTTCTCTTTCTCCCACAAATCAGAAGCTCCAAGGTTCTTAAGTCATGGTCTCCAATTTAGGAAGTGAATCTACCAATTACAGGATTCTGTGCTGTTCCCATGGGAACTGTGAGTCAGGATGGGGTTATTGACCAAGACTCCTGAGGTCGATCATCACTTATTTCTTTTTTGGCTTACCCATTCAAGAATTTTCTGGACTTCTGGAACTATGGTTCAAGCCATTTAAAGAGCACCACCAACCCTATCAGGTCAGGTGCTGCTTTCTGATAGTTTCTTTTCTTTTCTTTTTTGACAGGGTCTAGTTAGGTACTTCAGACTGGCCTTGACCACTAGGTGATCCTCCTGCCTCAGCCTCCCAAGTACAGGGGTTACAGCCCTGCAATGTAACACCCTTTTGTTAAGGGTTCCTTGCAGATTAACCATCAACACAGACAGATGAATCCTAATCAGCACTTACTTCCCAAGCTTTCTGTTTAGACTCCAGGCTCTGAATACCTGACTACCCCCACCCTGACCTGGCACTTTCTCAACACTGCAAAAAACAATCACCAGTTTAAAAATCCCAGCACTCGGAAGGCTGAGGCAGGAGGATCGCTGGGAGTTCGAGACCAGCCTGGACTACATAGTGAGTTCCAGGTCAGACTCAACTATAGTGAGACCCTGTCTCAAAAAGACAAACAAAACAAAACAAACCCCAAAAAACTGCCAGTTGTGGGGCCGGGGATTTAGCTCAGTGCTGCAGCCGCCTGCCTCACAAGCACAAGGTCCTGCATGGAGTTCAATCCTCAGTACCAAAATACCTGAAAACAAAATAAAAACTGCCAGTTGTGGAAACTGTCAACATGGAAGTTCCCTCCTTCCACTCTTGGTTCTACTATAAGCAGTCTGACCCTTCTTGCCTATGGCAGAGCAGCTGAGTGGTACCTGCTCCTGGACCATTCCGGCCTTCCTTGTTCTGCAGCACTTCTCAGAGACAGTCTCATCCTTCATTCTATCAAGAAAGTCCCAGGCCCGGGATTTGGCTCAGTGGTTCTGCCATCTGCCTCGCAAGCGCAAGGGCCTGAGTTGGATCCCCGGTACCACAAAGTCCCCGTAAAAAGATCCATTCTGCTCCCGAGTACGACACTGAGGAAATCCCAAATTTCTAGCTGATATCTTACTGAATGGGGGGGAGGATCCTGTATAGCAGAGAGCAAGTTTATTGGGCCCTCCCACCCCCTAAAATTAACAGCACATTTCAGAGCAACAGATATGCTGAACCCCCCTCTGGTTTGGCATTCCAATTGGAAAATCACCTGTGCGCGCGCGCGTGTGCGCGTGCGCGCGTGCTTGTGTGTGTGTGTGTGTGTGTGTGTGTGTGTTACTGGGGATTGACCCCAAAGCCTTCACATTACATCCCCTTTTTAAATTTTTTACTTTGAGACAAAATCTTACAAGTCACTGAATGGCCCAGGTGGGGTTCAAGAGATCCTTCTGTTTCAGCCTTCCAAGCAGCTGGAATTATAGGCTAGTATCACCATACCCACTTAAGTCTCATTTTGCTTATCTGTACTTCCACAGCCTTCAGTTCATATTCAAATTCAATTCATTTTCCCTCTCCCAGGTCTCCACAGCTCTTATCAAACAGCCCAGTCTAACGGGCTAATGCTTGCGCACCCTTTTGTATTTGGAAATCGGGATATTTGTCTCATCTAACGGGGTCGTGGGCTCTATTGGCCTGATTTCGTTTTTCAGAGGTCCAGCCCAGTGACAGAGGGTACCACACAGGCTGACAAACCGTACTCAAACTCGAGCTTCATCAGAAGCTGGGGTGGGGCCTGTGGAGTCAGTAGGCAGCAAAGAACAAGACTGTGCCAGGGGAGTGGAGGAAGTTCAGAGAAAGGATATGACAAGGGAGCCTCTGTGACAGCTTTCTGCTGTCTAGGACACCAGCTCTGAGTCAGCATGACCTACGAACCTTCTGTGGCAAATACTGTTGCCAGTTCCCCACAGACTGGGACTGGGACATCAGACCCAGCCACCGTAAAAGGACAGAGAACAAGCCAAGCCCATTTGTCGTTTCCTGCCCTCCGTAAAAGGAGGGTTCTGTGTAGTCACTTAGCAGGGCTGGGGAAAGTCTCGGATTTCTAGCCCTGCGGGTTTGTTGCACAACCAAAAAGCCATGCCCACATCCCAGGCAAGTCATGGAGGTCCCTCCAAATGTACACACCTAATCCCATCAATAACACGTCCCCAAACAGCACAGTCCCAGCAGGTAAAAGGAGCTGGGCTGGTCTCTCATCAGTCATCCAGCAAGTTAACAGCTTGCCAGATATACCAAGCAAGTGCCTTCCTGCAACTAAAAGCGGCACTGGTTCTCTCTACTTTAGAACAAATACAAGAACTGTACAAAAAGCATGGCTATTTCCAGCCCAACTGAACCAATGCTCGAAAGCACTTATGTATAAGCACCAATAAGAAAAAGAACTTACCTCATCTACAGACACAGGCAGGATGACTCGACTACAAGAGAGGGAAAAGAAAATCAACTTCAGGTTCTAAAACCTGTCCAAGGCTCTTAAAGCATTAGGTGAGAACAACATTCAGTGTTTTTTTGCATATGACTCTATACTCACTGACAAAAACCCAGGAGGCTAGGCCCCGGGTGCCCTTCTGGCACCCCCATTTAGAACCCCGTTATTCAGTATAAACCCCAGTCCCCCACCAGCTACTTCCCAGGCCTCTGACTCACTTGTGGAGCTGTCCTCTTCTCCCGCTCCCTCACCCATCTCTTCTCCAACAAGACTTGCTAATGAGTCTAGTAAAACAGAGAGGTAAAGAAAGAAGGACCCACTAGGATGAGGATTCAGACCCAAAGACACAGGCCCTGGAGATTTGCATCTCTGTGGACCCAACTTCCCAGAAATAGCCCTCAAGGTGAAAGGCTAAGAACAATATAAACTACAAGGATGCAGCTTCCAAAAGAGGACACTCAACTGTCTCTGACCTCCAGAAGCTGCCCAAAGGTACCCTGACCGATCACTTTCTTTTCTTCTCCATTTCAAAGACCAACTGTTGGAGGGACCACCAAAACGTGATGGAAAAGCCATGGCCAGAAAAGTCCCCGTGAGGGGACAGAACTCCAGCAAGGTGAGAGGGCTAGTGGCTCTTCTGCAGGTGGCTTGCATTTTTAATGCAGACTAATGACCACCCCCAGTTCGATGCTGTGATGTCAGAGTGCTGAGAGAAAAGGCACTGATTGTATTCCTGTAAGTTAAGCCAGTTCCCAAGCTGAGATTCTGTCTTCAGAGCCTTGCTGGAACCCTCTGAGCCCTTCTGCATCTTGTGTGCTTGCTTGGTGAAGCATGAGCTGCTGTGTTCTCTTTCCTGTGCAGTGCAGTGGGTTCAAGCACATATCCTTGCTCCAAGCTGCTAAATAGCCTGCTATTTTTCAGTTCCACAAAGGTCCCCCAGGAAGCAAGAAGCACACAGAGGGATCTGAGAAAAACATCACAGTAAAGGCCAGGCACCAAGAAGAAAAGTAGCAGAAAAACAAAATGGGCTCCAAGTCTTCACTGCCTGCTAACAACTCTCTTCCTCAGAAGGGCTCAAATAACATAAATCCTCCTGTTTATTGGATGCTGCTACTTACACTATCCTCTCGTTAGAGAAAGCCAACAGTGCAGAAAAATACTCCCAAGTTGGAGGCCAGAATTTTTGCACCCTCAGAAGAAACTTCCTAGAAAACAACATGCCTCTTATCTTCAAGAACACAGTAAAAATCACATCCAAGAAATTGCAGAAATCAAATCTAGGAGAATCTGGTGGCAGGAAATATCAAATACATCAATAGGGACAACCTTTAGGCCCAACTCCCCTCCCTGAAAGAGACTGGCATCGACCAATTTATTCTTCACAGGATGCTCTGGGGCTGCTTCCATCACAGCTATACACCCAGACATTTCTCCCATGCTCCTTGGGAACAAAGCCACTTCAGCAGCAACGGGATACAAATCCAAAGGATACAGTCATAGAAGCACAGCTGGGCTGAGACTAGAGCCATGCTCACTACAGTGTGACCTTCATTCACATCCTTCTCAGAGCTGCAGTTCTGCAGCCACAGCCAAGTATCTCAGAGGCATCCTCCATTCCCGTCCTTAGTCCAGGAAGTACATATAGGGCACAAGGCAGGCAGGAAGGAAACACAGATACTAGATCGGCTCTGCATCCTCATACCTTAGGCCTTCTCTAGTGGCCTTCAAAGGGAGAACAAAGAATGGTAAAGGAGTAACTCCCTTCAAAACTCACTTGTCTTCTGAGGACCTTTCTTTCCCCTGCCTGACCATCACTTCAAAAGTACATATTTCTACAGATCCCAGGATTCATCTGGGAATAAGAAAAAGATCAGAAGAACAGAGAAGGCTGTTTGGACAACGAAGATTGAAATGGAAAGTGTACCATGTTCTCCTCTTTGGAGAATCTTGCCATCCTAAATTCTTCCTCCTCACTACAAAAACTCTGAGCTGTGGCTGGATTAATAGCAAATGAGATGCCAAGAAACAGGTGACAGGACCCTCAAGTCATGTTCTTCACAGGAGGTACCAAGCTTGGATGGCACCTACACCTTTGCTTTTTGTTATTCAACTGCACACTCCTAAATGTCCTAAACATCTCCAAGGAGCAAACCAGATCGGGCTAGACAAAGCGACTTCACTGACAAAATGGAAAGAACCCTCTGCATAACTGCCTGCCTACCCAGAGAGTTCAGTAAGTTTCTCTATGTTCGGAGGCTTCTAGCCCAATGCTGCCCACTTGCCCTCCCTCCAGAGAGACAGTGTCACTGTAAATTCTAGATACACAAGCATTCAATCTCTCCAAATTTGGGGGAGAAAAAAAATCCTGTGTTCTTGGAACCATGAGCTTCATGGACAGATCACCTTCTATTTGAAGGATTTAGCAATCTGAATATCCGCTGGATTTCAGGAGCAATCCCATCTCCTTGCAATTCCTTTGAAAAGTCTCCAAGCCAGGCGTGGTGGTGCACACCTGTAATCCCAGCACTCAGGAGGCTGAGGCAGGAGGATCACTGTGAGTTCGAGACCAGCCTGGGCTACATAGTGAGTTCCAGGTCAGTCTCAACTACATAGTGAGACCCTGTCTCAACCCTCCCCACAAAGTCTCCGGTTTCTCACCCTCAAGACACTACTTAAAAACTTCTTCACTGTCTCTCCTCAATTAATGGCTTTGTGGAAAGAAATTTCAATTCCTCAAGCAATTTCCCCATCTCTCTGCACCAAGACTGAGAACCTCTAGAGACAGGCTGGCTCTGCCCTGGTCCCAGCCACCTGCACTAACAGGTATGCTCACATATTTTCTGGGTTGTCTTCTACCCTCATAACTTCCTAGCCCTCTCCATCACCTCCTTCGTGGCACTTCAGATCTTGCCCAGTATTTCCTGGACTCCCCACACAATGGCCCCAAATCCAAAGCCGTCAACTCAAGCTTTTCTCAATGCCTTCTCTTCTCCACCTATCATTTGGGCACCATGTCATTTCAGTCCCCCATCTCATCCCGTTCTGTTCTATCTTCCATCCCTTGTCATCCAAGCCTGGCCCTGACTAGTGCTTGTCCCATGACCACTTATCACAATCCTTCCCCAGCTGCCTACAGCAGCTACCTACCTATGCATACTCCAGGTTCCACCTCTGGACTCCTCCCATCGTCTCTGCTCCATTCTTCCATCTATCTTATCTGATTTTCTCCACCCCTGACAGTTCAGCCCTCAAGCCCCTCCCTCCCCACCACGAGCCAGCTCACAGGTCCCACCTGCCCTTGTCCCACTGTTCCTCGGCCCTCTGCAGTCCTCTCAGTCCTTCCTCCAGTTCTGGCTGGCCTCGTCATCCCTCAGCCCCCACTGTAGGAGCACCCTACGTCTCATCCAGCCCTCTGATTCCCTCAGCCCCTCCTCATGCCCTGTCCGGCTCTCACTGTCCCTTTGACCCCATCTCAGGCCCTGTCCAGCGCTCACAGTCCCCTGGGCCTCTCATTGGGCCTATTCGGCCTTCACGGCCCCCTGGGCCCTACTTCACGTGCCGTCCGTGTCTCTCTAGCCCCACTGACACCACTTCAGGCCCTGCCTTGCCCCCGACCTCCAGTCCGCCCCGACAGGCCGCCCCACAGCCACATCCGAGCTGCCCTTCCCCTGCGGCGGGCCATCAGCCTTCCCGGTCGTCATCCCCGACCCTCCCTTCCTCCTCGCTTCCGCGCGGCCGGCCGGA